CATAATATAAAATATCATTTTCCAAAAAATTAAAACCCAAGGAAATACATGTATGTTGACTGTGTCAAACACAGTCCAGTCATTAACAGGTGTACAGGCTGTCTTTGTAAACTCTGATTCCTCTGTTTGTAACCAGGACCACTCAGGCAGATCGACCTGAGTATGATGGGTCACAGGTACCCATACGTTGACATTGGCCCTGGGTGCCCACTGGCCAGATTAGGAGGACCTTGGCTCCCCTTTTCAGGAGAACTTCCAGAGAACAAGTTTTGACAATGCTTTACTGAAGTCACCAGATAGCAAAAGAGCTTACCCCAAGCTTAACTGGGAGCTGACATGAGACCCAGCTCTGACCCTGCCTTGCCACAGCGAGGAGACAACCAGCCTCAAGTTTGTCCTTGGAGTCCACGTGGCAATACCGCAGGGCCAGAGAGAGGGAAAATCCCCCTACCCTGCCCACAGCACCCACCCAGTCTCTATTTCCAGTCCCAGCATCTGCCTCTCCCTGCACAGTTGGCAGCTGGAATGTCCACTCCTTTCTGAAGAAACCCCATCCTCTATCCACCAAGAGTAAAATCACACAAAAACACAAAAGTCTGATGTAATTCATTTTTCAAAATCTGGGGTTTTAGTTGAAAATAACACCACCCATGTCCATCACCAGCCCAGTTCATAAGCCTGATTGGCACCTCTGGGCCCCCTCCCCCAGGAGTTTCTCAACATTGGGAGAGGATGGGGCCCTCCCACCTTCTGCCTCTGTATCGCACAGAGAGGAGGGAATGCCTACCGGGCACCTTGCATGCTCTGGGTGTTTGTAAACACCAGTGTCCAAACCTGGGCAGCGAGCCCGGAATCCTCACTACAGACAGGTGACCGTGCATGAACAGAAGTGGCCACTCTTAGAAGTAGGAACGTGATCAAGGCACAGAAGAGACAGCAAGACAAGGGGCGGTGGAGGTGGAAAGCGGGCAGACAGGAGGGCGTGGATAATGTGGCTCACACGAGCACCAAGGCCATGGGCTTGGTCAGAACTCCGTGGCCACCTCAGATCTAGGCAAGAGGGCCCTGCCCTTGACTGCCCCCTCCCTACAGGGCCACTGGGATGTGTCCACTCAGAGCCTACATCTCTGCTTCGAGACTGCACTTCAGCACCCAAACCTCAGGATTCCCTACCCAAACCTCCCTGAACCTACTTCCAGGGCCCCTTCCTCCCACGGGGAAATGGCTGTTTGTAGGACAAGGTTGGACTGAGGACTGAGGTGTGCACAGGCAGGTACAGGAGACCATGCCCAGTGTGGGATGGAGTTGGAGGTGGTGAGCTGAAAGTTGGGGCTGGAGGCTAGAGACCACTCTCCCCCCACTGCCACTTCCAGTTGGAAAACGAGGCATCTGAAAATTCTAAACTGGAACCTGACTTTCCAGTTATGAAGGTATATTTTTTAAGGTAGAGGATAGAAGATATTCTCTATGACTTTTTGTAGGCTTGACTTGTAGCCTGTAAATATGTAGACACGTGGCATTACAGACTTCCCAATGTTCGTGCTTGCTCTGGTCCCTCAACATTAGGGGTGGGCCTCAGACCCAAGACAGAATCTTTTCACCCCCACTTGCCAGAAGGTGACAGTCCCGATCTGAGCTTCAGTTTTCTCACCTGCAGGAATCCCTATCTTAGAGGGCTGTTGTGGTGATTCCCCAAGCTCTGTACAAAAGCATCCAGCAACGAGCCCTGGTTCCCGTCTCTGCCTCTTCCACATGGTGTGGATGGTAGGCTGAGGTGCTGGTCAACAAGGGAGTGGCCTTCAGAAATTCCAGTAAGTCAATGTGCCCCTGTCAAATCCAGGTTACAACAGAGTTCCTGACACCACACTGACACTGACTTTCTGGCTCAGTTGGATGCCTTGGACTCAAATTCCAGCCCAAGGACTAGCATTGAAAAGGTCGCTATTTCAGCAAACCACAGAAGCTTCTAAAGTAGACACTTGCCTTTAAACTGCTTGATGACTTGATTTCTTAGGGAGTGAGTGACCAAATCGGAAGGAAGGGCTCTTGCAGGAACACCCAAGCCCTCAACTCACTGATTCATCTGCACTGGACTCCACACTGGCCAGACGGGTAAAGGCAGCATTTACCTGGAGTCCATAATTAAACTGAGCAACGTAAGCAGATGGCCTAAGTAAGGGTGCTGAACACTCAGAACAGCGGGGCTGGGGAGTCGCGGGCTCAAAGATTGAGAGTGGGGAGCACAGGCCAGGCCACAGCTCCTTACCTGCTCCCCTCAGAGTGTCACTGTGCGAAGGGAGAAGTGGGGACCAATAAGGGGGGGGTCTAAGGGTTAGGGAACGAATCCGTAAATTAGGAAATATTTGAAAAACTCCAGAAGAAAATCACACACACACACTAGGATTTCCCCAAAGTTTTCACATATGTAAAAAGAAACTGCTGGTGCAAACTACAGAACCTCCCCACTTGGCCTGCGAGGGGACCTGTGCGAGCGGTCACCTGAGGAAGCTCACGCAAGTCTTCGGTGGCTGCACATTCAGAAAGCAGGTGTCAGAGAATCAGAATTTTAGAACCTGAAAGGTTCTTGGTGATCCCCTAGGACAACCCTTTCGTTTTACAGAGAAGGAAACTGAAGCCCAGAGAATTCGAGTGAGTTAACACAGAGCCAACTGGAAACAGAGCCAGAGTGTAAACCCAGCTTGCCCGGCTCACCCTCCAGTGGTCGTTCCTTTCTACCACACAGACGTGGCCCGGGACAGGGGCCCTCGCTGCCCAAGGACACAGGTCATGGCCAGAGGTAACCTTGATCTCCCCCGGGCCTGCATTAGGCATCTGCTCCAGCAGTGCAGGAGGGAGGGAGACGGTCCTGCCAGATGGAGTCTCCAAGGAGAGTTGATCCGAGTGTTCCAGGTGCCCCGCTGTGGAGCGCGCCTGTGCCTGCAGCGGGGCCCAGGCTCTGGAGAGTCAACAGGCCCGGGGACGTGAGGGCCACGGGGCAGGGAGGGCAGGGGCCGGAACCTGGAGCCCCGTGCCCCGCGGCCAACAAGTGAGGACGTTACTACTGGAGGCGCTGCTGGGAACGGGTTCCCAGAGGGGATTTCCAACAAACGCTGAGAAGGGATGGCGGGGCTCAAAGAGAGGTCACGGCGGCGGAGAGATCTGAGAGCCATTTGACAGAAGAAATGTGGAGTCGCGCTTTGCATAACAGAGTTGTCTCCGCCTGCCGGGAGGGGACCCGTGTGTCTTTCGGCGGCCGCAGCCTCTGACGAGAGAGAAGACAAGCTCCGCGCGGAGCTGGTCCCCTGCGGTCCCCACCCCTCCTCAAGCCCCGCACGTTCCCGCACGCAGCGCATGCGCACAGCTCCCTCCGCCCCGGGCGCCTTTCCTCGCTGAGCCCCGACGGGGCGGCCGCGCAGACGCTGCGCAGGGGCTTCACTTTCCGACGCAGCCCCGGAGTCCCCCGCGCGAGACTCGGGTACGCACGGCTCGGAGTCGTCGCGCTGGCGTGGCCCGCCCGTCCCCGCCCTTCCTGGCCCGTCCCGGAGCGGGCGCTCGGGGCGCCGCCTGGCGCGGGGCGAGCTTGCAGGAGGAAACGTTCTCCCGGGGGTAGCTGGATGCGCGGCCACACCCTCAGCCCGCTGGGGCGGGAAATCCGCCGTCAGTTTATTCAAACAGGCCGGATTCCGGGTCTGAGATTTTGAATGAGACAACCTGGTTGTGTCTTGAAATCAGCTTAGTGGGTCCTGTCCAGCCTTTTCTTTCTTTTTTTTAAATTAGAGTGTTTCTCAAGATTCCTTGAGAAAAACAAAACTTTTTTTCTGCAGTTTAAAATGTATCTCTCATTGGGGATTCTTGGCTAAAAAATTGAAAAACTCTCTTAAATAACTCTTCTGGTCCTCTGCAGACCTCTCCGAAAGCTGAAACTACAGACAGGTCTGAGTAGCCAGTGGAGGAGTAAAAATTCCAGGCTTGGTTTATCCAAGTTTGGGATAATATCACTCCTGTCCTGGATACCTACATATGTGCATATTGTGACTGCATGTAAATATCATTTCTACAGCAATTTTTATTGTAAGAATGGTACATGTCCTTCATAAAACAACAAAAAACTAAGACTTTGAAAGAACACCCAGAAAACGACAGGTGCTACCCTTGCACATACGCAGGAGATGTATTCCCAGAGAATACATAGGAGATGTGTTCTCAGTTTTTTGGGGTCTTGGACTGCTTGTCCACACAAGAACTGAGAAAAGCAGTATATGTGAATCACTGAGTTTTATTCATTCAAACAGGTATGGCAAGAGGCCTGGAACACCAGGACACAGAAGATGAAACTTCTAGAAGGCACTAAGGAAAATTCCAATATACATTACACTTCCTGTGAACACTTTGGCCCAGCTTGGCTACATCTCTTCTTCAGTGTAGTGGTGTACACAGGGCAGAAGTTGTAGAGCAGTGGTTCTTTGGAATCCTATTAACCCCTTCCTCACTGGAAGCAATTTCTTGTCCAATTGGCATCAGAGTGCTTACAAATAAAAATGCAACACAGGAACACTTATTCATAAGTGAGAGTGTCTCTGGGGAATGCCAGGGGAATGGTACTTGTACAGAGGTACTCAGACCGTAGCTCGAGGTACGTGCGCATGCAGCAATTTGCTGCAACAAATACAGTTTATTTCCATGGAGCTAAAAAAGTAAAACTTCCCAGCAGGAAAAAAAGTGTCAGGGTAAACCGGAAAATACAGTAGTTAGGAAGTCAGGAGACCTGATTTCTCATCCTGCCTCTGCTGGAACTTCCTCTGCTGGTTCACACCTGTGCTGGTTCCTCCTCCCAGTTTTAAGAGTCTGATTCTGAGAAAGTCATGGTACCCTCTCTGAAAAGACACTGGTTCATCTATTCCAGGTGGTTCTACCTGGTGGGACTTGCTAGGGGGAAGTCAATCACTCTAGAAATCTGAAAATAACTCTCATGGGTGGGCTTTTTTTCCCTCCAGCTCAGAAATATGTGCCCAGGGCTGCCCTAGTGGACTTGGAGCCTGGCACCATGGACAGTGTACGATCAGGGCCTTTCGGGCAGCTCTTCCGGCCTGACAACTTCATCTTCGGTAGGTTCCAACTTTCTTGCTTATTTTTTATTTTAAATCAATTACTTTCTGTGTAAGATTAAAAACATCACATGGCATAGAAGAGCTTAGAATGGTAACCCACATTCCCCGCCCCACCCCTCCCACCCGCAGCTGGGCTCATCACAGGGAGCAGCTTTTAAGTCTTGATTTTTCTTTCAGGAAGTAACTTCTGTATCTCTAAATGAATGTCACATGAACCACACACATAGGAGATATATCTTCAGAAGTACTCACTCTTCTCAGGTTTTTGGAGTCAAAGAAACATAACATACCATAAATATAGCACACATCATGACCAAGTGCAACTGAGAGGCAGTTAGTGTAATGGGGAAGAGTCTGGCTATGCTGCCACTCACTGTGTGACCTTGGACTTGTTATTTAACTTCTTTGTAATTTAATTTCTTCATCTATAAGTGGACTGTCTACCTCTTAATGAGAGGTAAGGATTAAGTGAATAAGTATTTAGAATGCCTAGTACACAAGAGTTTGATAAATATTAGCAATATCCCAGGAATGCAAGGATGGTTCAACATTACAAAGTCTGCTAATAGAGTAACAGAGACAACATCTTAATAGAGACCCAAAAAATATTTGATAAAATTTAATATGTGTTCCTGATTTGTAGAGAACAAAAAATCTATATAAGCTGGAAGTACAAAGAAACTTCCTTTATTCAACCTATAGCAAGATCATACTCCCTCATAAAACATTAGAAGTATTCCCAATAAAGTTAGGTACAAGAAAAAGAAGTCCATTTTCTCTACTATTATTCCATTGTCTGAAGGCTCTTGCCAGTGCACAAAAACCAGACAAAAGAGAAGCAAATCATGTAAAGGAAAAGACAAAATTGTTATTGGTAGGTAGAATGTTGCTCCTGAAATTTCCAGATAGGCTGTGAGCTGAAACACTTATAAGACTGATTCAGTAAGGCAACCAGACACAAGATAAAAATATTCAGAAAATAATAGTTTTGCTATAGGGTGACCAGTCATCCTGATTTTACTAGATGGGGGAGGTGTTCCCCAGGACTCTGGACTTTGCTAAAAATGGCAAAGTCCCAAGCAAACTGGGACAAATTAAAAGCAATAACCAATTATAAAATATATTGGGATAAATATCCTATTCACAATAAAAGCTATACATACCTAGGCACAAAATTTACTTGTAATTAGGGATGGGTGGGAGGCAATTAAAGCAAGATAATATTTTTCTCCCATCAGATTGGCCAATATTCTAAAAACTGCTAAGAAAGTGAAGGTGTTTGGGAAATAAGACCAAACAGAGCATTGTTCACAGAACAACTTAGTAGATTCAGTAAATCTAGAATTTTGATCTAACAAATTTGGTTCAAGAAATCTATGTGCAGAAATGTATCATGAAAATTGCAAATTGGCTTCCAAAAGGGCTGAACCCGTGGGCGCGCCCTCCGGCGGTGTCTAGAACTTGCCCTTGCTACCACACGGTGTCAGTCTTTGTCAATTCAGAGGCACTGCTCTCTCAGCGCTCTGTAGTAAAAACCTGACTTGGATAACATTAACATTCTGTATTCTGAGGACAGAAAAAGGATGTGGCCCACTTTATACGGATCAGCCCTGGAGAGCCTTCTCTTACTCTTTCTCCTTCTCTAAGTTGGCGTCGACCCCCAGAAGCAGCAGCTTCTTTCTGGACCACCTTCCTGGGTTACAGTGTTAGTGTAGCCAAGAAGAAAGGGCACTGAATTGGGAGGAAGGAAACCGGGCCACTAACTGCAGCTCTGTGACCTTTGGGTGTCACAGGTAACTTCTCTGGGCTTCAGCTTTACAGTCTATGAAATGAAGGGCCCCCAAGTATCTTGGGGTCACAGACTCCTGTAAGAACCTAAGGAAGCAATGGCCCTATCTCCCCCACCTCCACAGAAACAAATCCTTGTAGAACTCTGCTCAGTTTCTTCCTTAAAAGGTTCAGTGGATCTCTGGAAAGAATCTGAGAGGATAGCTACAGTTTCTTGAGTCTGAATTGGAGTCGGCCTCAGTCTCAGTAAACTACCAGGCAAAATTAATATATTTCATCATTTTAAAAAAACTGACACTTCTTTGTAGATAGGCAATATATGCACATGGTACTCAGTTCAAAAAGGTTATACAGTCAAAAGGTAGCCTCCCTCCTCCCTCCCACGAGCCTCCCTCCCAGGGGGCCAGGGACTGTTGCCAAATTTGTGGGTGTCCTTCCTGAGATATGTATACACTTTTAAGCAAATCTATGAATTTTTGTATATAAAAAGGATTTTAAAGTTTTACTTATGTAAAATATATACCTTTCCTCCTTCTAAGAATATGAAACAAGATATAGTAAAAGATAGGCCTAAGTGTAGCAGTTTAAAACACAAAGCCACCCACGAACGTTAATTCAGTCATGGCTGAGAATTAATTGTAGCTCTGGGTTTCTGGCACCTACATGCTAACAAGGAAGCGCAGCAGGTGACATGGTTGTCTCACAGAAGGGAATGTACTGCTCCCTTAAAAAGGGGGGTTCCCCTCCCCATTATAAATTATTTGTATTTATTTTTAATTTTTACTTTGCTTTTTTTTTTCAGCAAAAACTAATGTAATCACGTTATTAAAAAAATTAAAAACTAGAGTAAAAAAGTTATTTCATATGTTCATTATCTCAGTATAATCGTTGTCAGCACTGAGGTATATTTTCACCTTTATTTTTTTCTTTTTGCTGATTTTCATTAGTTGTAGTCACTACGTCACTTTGCATCTTTTTTCCACAGAGCACTATATTATAAGCCATATTCCATGTTAATGTGTAGTTTCTAAAATCTATGATTTTTAATAGGTACATAATGTGTAATTCTTTACCTAATTTACAACTTTATAATGGCCAATAACCAGGGAGTAGTTTCTTTCCAATTTTTGCTCTTATAAAAGACTATTGTAATGAACATCTTGGCTCACAGAAAGTTGTCTGTGTTTTTGACTCTGATTTCAGGATAGATTCTCAGAAATGGAATTACTGGGGCCGAGCCCGTGGTGCACTCGGGGGAGTGCGGCGCTGGGAGCGCAGCGACACTCCTGCCACAGGTTCGGATCCTATATAGGAATGGCCGGTGTGCTCACTGGCTGAGCGTGGTGTGGGCGACACCACACCAAGGGTTGCGATCCCCTTACCGGTCACGAAAAAGACACACACACAAAAAGAAAGAAATGGAATTACTGGTTCAAAGAGTGAACATACTGAAACCGTTCATACATTTTGCCGTAGACTTTCTAATTGGATCAATGCCACCAGCACTGATGTTTGAGAGCATAGGTTTTGCTATGCTTTTACCTGAAATTAAACTTTTAGGGAAATGTAGCAACCGAATGCTTATTCTGTGAGATACTCAGTGCTTTAATAACTGCTTAATGGAAAGTGTGAAAGCATCTCTAAATTTGGCCGTTCTCTGTCAATGTAAGTTGACAGTGTGAAAAAGACAGACCTGTGCACACATGACATGCAGGCTCAGGGAATGAGCCTGCAGCTCGGTGAACACGGTTCTGTGGGGAAGGGCGGTTGGCTGAAACGCAGCATGTGAACACACACGCACACACATGCACACACACCTTATTGCACTTTGAAAGAAAAACAGGAAAAAAGTATCCTATTCTATATTGTTTAAGATGTTCAAACTCAAATGCCTAACATTGGGCTTCACGTCTCATTGGTATGTTTTATTTCTCAAAATATGTGGTAAGTATGTAGACATTCATTATATTATTTCTCCAGTCCTTTTGCATGCCTTAAATCTGTCATAAGAAAAATGCCAGATGTCTTAGAGGTGTCGTCATGGAAGAGGCCAGGGCCCTTCCTGCACAGGCTGCCCTGCCTACACAGGCCGCCCTGCCTCAGGCCTGGCTGCGGGACTGAGGGCCCCAGCCTGGGTGGCTGCCTGGAGGCGGCCAGGGCCTGGGGAGGTGCTGGAGTCCCAGCCGTGGTCTGGTCTTTATCAAAGTGGCTCATCACAAACTTTAAAGTTGTGAGAAGCTCAGTTCTGGTCACAGCAACTTCAGCAATTGTACAGTTTTCTTTGGCTTAATTTAGTTTAAATGAAAACTGGGAGAGTGTAAGAGAAGTCTGTTCTTATCTTTTTAGCTATTGACAAATGGGATCAAAATGATTAAGAACAAATTAAGACAGACCGATGGTGACCATTTAGTTATTGTCCCTGTACTTTCAAAAACGCTAGAAATGACATTTGGCACTTAAACTGTCTCCAAAGTTGCTTCTTGCATCTTTGCTTGTCAGACAAGCATCCCTATTGATTCAGAATATTTGAAATTTTTGATAGGTTGTACTGACATGTCTTTAATTGCATCTTTTAAAAATTGACAGTTTTTAATGAAGAATTGTGAATTGTTTAAATGAATTTGCTTATTTTGTGAAAGTAACTCGTTTGTTATGGAGAATGGAAAGGTATCCAGAATGTATAAACATACTATATTGTTTGGCTAAACAGTTGTTTCGAGACATTCTCCATGAATAGAAAAGGCAGAATTGTCCGTGGACAGGAGATGGCTCATCCCTCGTTGCTTACGGCTCACGGTTTCAGTGGGAGGTGGTAAATTAAAATAAACCAGTGTCATTCCATTTTCAGATATAGTTTGAAATGGTTTTAAAAACCCTCACTTACATTAGTAATGTGTAATTTTAAAAGTGGAAGTTACCTACATTTGAGTTTTGAACAGCATGAATATATATGCACACACATATATATAAGTACTTCTTTTTTTGTATGGCTGGCCGGTATGGGGATCCAAACCCTTAACCTTGATGTTATGACACTGCACTCTAATCAACTGAGTTAACTGGCAGCCCCTGAATAAATAATTTTTTAAAAACTGTTTTTCTTAAAGAACTGCCGGTTGCATAGCCGTTGTGCCTATTCAATCGTTGCAAAGTTTTGTGAGGGAAGAAATGAAGCACCAGAAAAGTAAACTTGCCTTAAGCCTCCTTCTGTATTTGTAACTTTTTCTTCCAGATTCAGGGCTAGAAGAGGGGGCAGGGAGCACGCAGAGCCTTAGGACTTAATCCCTCCCCAGCGTGAGCTGGAGGTAAACCACAGGTGGACGTTCTGGGGACCCATGGCAGCCCCGCTGCCAGATTTCAGCCTCATGCTTCACAGTCTGGAGTCACTGATTAATGCCACAACGTGTCATTACAGAAGACGTTCAACTTATGACCTCCAAATATTTAACTGGGAACGTCTGTTGCTATGAGACAGAGGCAAAATATTTTCAGAAGTCAACAGCTTCCTACTTTTGTCAAGAGCAGGGAAAACTTCACGTTTAATCATGCTATAAATATTAAGCAAATCGTGTGAGCTGGAGGGACGGAGTCAGGCTCAGCATCTGTGTACACTGACAACCAGAGCGAGTTTAACTGAGTAAGGTTTTGTGTCTGCCTAATGCCACCTACTGTTTTCAGTTATTGGTTTCTGCTATTTTAAGAAGATAGTTCCTGGGGCCGGCCCGGTGGCGCACTGGATAAGTGCGCCGCTTGGGAAGCGCGGCGGGCTCTCCCGCCCGAGGGTTCGGATCCCACATACAGACCGGTTCCCGCTCACTGGCTGAGCGAGGCGCAGGAGCAACACCGAGGGTTGCGATCCCGTTGCCGGTCCCCGGTCCGGTACGGGGGCGACACTGAGGGTTGTGATCCGTTGCCGGACACGGAAAAAGACAAAAAAAAAAAAAAAAAAAAAGAAGATAGTTCCTAGTCTCTTTGCGCAATTGCACTCACAGTCTTTCCTTTGTAAAGGAGCTGCGTTGAGCTCCAAGTCCAAGGCTAGCCCCATGTATGAGGCTGGCCCCAAGTTTGTTTTTCCCAATGCCTGTGTTGTAGTCTGGCCAGGCTGCTGCCTGCTGGGTTGGGTGGGGAGGCGGCGGAAAGGACTTGGTGGGGGCTTAGGAATGACAATGACCATTTTTGAGTCTGATAAGAGAAGGAGTCAGCTAGATTTCACTGTGCGACACAGCTGGGCAGGAAGAAAGAGCATCTCTGTGAGACAGAATAGTCACGTTAGACAATGTCTAAGGCCTGTGGAAAACAGAACAAGAAAATGGCCACCTGAGAGGGCTGAAGTGGCCAGTGCCCATGGGGTGTGCTGCAGGTGTGGCGTGGGTGTCTGTCCAGCCCAGGCCCCTCTGTGCAGCCACGGGCCCTGCCAAACCAATGGCCTTGGTGCCTCAGAGAGGCCAGATGGGCAAAGACAGCAGGCGTGCGAGGCTTAGCCAGAGACGTGGGGAGGCCGGGGCTGCAGGCAAGTGCAGGACTGCCTTGTCAGTTGCAGATGCCAGTTCTGCTCTGTGGAAACTTCACTGTTTCACACTTAAATGTGTTTAAAATCTTTGGAGATGGGGCCGGCCCGTGGCTCACTCGGGAGAGTGCGGTGCTGATAACACCAAGGCCCCGGGTTCGGATCCCATATAGGGATGGCCGGTTCGCTCACTGGCTGAGCGTGGTGCTGACAACACCAAGTCAAGGGTTAAGATCCCCTTACCGGTCATCTTTTAGAAAAAAAAAAAAAAAAAAAAAATCTTTGGAGATTTCATTACAGAGTTAAAATAAACTGCTTGCATATGCTTTTTACAAACAATACACAAGTATTGAGTGCTGAGTATACACTGTGAAAATGGAAGCCCTCATCTCCTCTACGGATGGCTCCAGAGATTTTATCCCCAAGGGGAATAACCAAAGGCTGTAGATGGTTGGGCTGTGTCCTGCTGACTTTTTTTCTATGTACACGTGCTGGTGGGCATACGCGCATACACCAAGTTGATTTCGTTTTCAGGGAATGGGATCATGCTACACATAGTATTTTGCAGCCTTTTTGAAAAGTTCATTAGCATATCTCCAACATCCTCTGTCACAGTCACAGCACCTTTCCAGTTATGTGTCATCCTTTAGTAATTCCCCACTTACTGATGATGTTGTGAATTGTTCCCACCAGCTGTGTATAGACAAAAATCTAGTTGCTTACACCTTTGGAGTAAGTGGGGAGAGGTCTATGCAGTGCAAGTTTTTATAACTTGAATAAGCTAAATCTGCAACCTAAACGTTTGATGAAGATACTGTATGTTTAAAACGTTTCATTAAAAATTAAATTGACTGAAGGCCGGCCCTCAGGGAGAGCATTAATCCATTCATGACGGATCCGCCCTGATGATCCAAACTGCCACGTTGGGAATCAGATTTCCACGAGTTTTGGTTGGGACAACAGATTCTAACTCCATCAGCACATGTGCACCATAAGCATTGACAGATATTTTGACTTGTCTAAAGAAGTCGTGCTGGTTCACCTGCCACTAGCCATGTGGGTGGGTGGGTGCCTGTCTCCCCTCCCCCTAACTTCCCAACAGGGCATTATCTTATCGTTTCACACACCAGTTTTCCTTCCCCAGGCAGGAAGTACGGATGTCGGGAATAGTTCCTTCCTGTGCTGCCCTGTTAATCTGCCCGGACTCTGTTGCTTTGTTGCAGGACAAACGGGCGCGGGCAACAACTGGGCCAAGGGGCACTACACGGAGGGCGCGGAGCTGGTGGACGCGGTCCTGGACGTGGTGCGCAAGGAGGCGGAGCACTGCGACTGCCTGCAGGGCTTCCAGCTGACCCACTCTCTGGGGGGCGGCACGGGGTCCGGGATGGGCACGCTGCTCATCAGCAAGGTCCGTGAGGAGTACCCCGACCGCATCATGAACACCTTCAGCGTCATGCCCTCGCCCAAGGTGTCGGACACGGTGGTGGAGCCCTACAACGCCACCCTTTCCGTGCACCAGCTGGTGGAGAACACGGACGAGACCTACTGCATCGACAACGAGGCCCTGTACGACATCTGCTTCCGCACCCTGAAGCTGACCACGCCCACCTACGGGGACCTCAACCACCTAGTGTCGGCCACCATGAGCGGGGTCACCACCTCGCTGCGCTTCCCGGGCCAGCTGAACGCCGACCTGCGCAAGCTGGCCGTGAACATGGTGCCCTTCCCGCGCCTGCACTTCTTCATGCCCGGCTTCGCGCCGCTCACGGCCCGCGGCAGCCAGCAGTACCGCGCGCTCACGGTGCCTGAGCTCACGCAGCAGATGTTCGACGCCAAGAACATGATGGCCGCCTGCGACCCGCGCCACGGCCGCTACCTCACCGTGGCCACCGTGTTCCGCGGCCCCATGTCCATGAAGGAGGTGGACGAGCAGATGCTGGCCATCCAGAACAAGAACAGCAGCTACTTCGTGGAGTGGATCCCCAACAACGTCAAGGTGGCCGTGTGCGACATCCCGCCGCGCGGCCTCAAGATGGCCTCGACCTTCATCGGCAACAGCACGGCCATCCAGGAGCTGTTCAAGCGCATCTCGGAGCAGTTCTCGGCCATGTTCCGGCGCAAGGCCTTCCTGCACTGGTACACGGGCGAGGGCATGGACGAGATGGAGTTCACCGAGGCCGAGAGCAACATGAACGACCTGGTGTCCGAGTACCAGCAGTACCAGGAAGCCACTGTCCACGACGGCGAGGAGGCTTTCGACGACGACGACGAGGAGGTCGATGAGTAGAGGCGCCTCCCAGCTCGGAGGCTCGCACGCTCTGATCTTTCCCTCACCCTGGGCCTCTTACCCCACCCGCAGAGCGTGCTGCAGATTGTGCGCTGGCCTGTGTGCAGCTGCAGACCCCTGCGGAGGCAACAAGGTTGGACTGTCTGCACTAAAGTACGTTAAATTAGCAGAGAACTGGCAATTCTACCCAATCAGAAGATCAGACTATGGAGATTTTCTGCTAGAGGACTTTAAAGAAATAACTAAGGGGCCATAGAGGGCTACTGAGCGTTCGTCCCTCTGAGAATTAGCAGGAGAGTTAGAAACTGTTTCATCCTTTGTGGTGAAGCCTGAAACCGTGAAGTGTTGCCTTATTTGAATATGCAATATGGAACTTTGAAACAATCTATTCATAATAAAATATTAAATTGATTTCTTTGTCTCTTCCAGCCCTGTGCTTACCTAACAGAGAAGTTACTTTTCTTTGCAGTTATAAAGGCAACTAGATCGCTGGTCTCTCCCTGGGGTGATCCGCCCCCTACCACCTCCCACCCCTAACCCCCAGTTTACTAAAAGAACAGAGGAAAGGGCTTTTCTTAAACTGGAGGCTTCAAGGGTGGCAGCCAAAATTTCCCTGACCTTGGAAGTAGTGCAAGCATAAGCAAAAGCCCATCTTCCCCATCTGCAGCCTCCATTTAATCCTCCCACAAAATCTTTCATCTTGCTGTGTCAGATCCTGGGCTGGGGGGGGGGTCCCCAACCTTCTCGCCAAAGGAGCCACAGGAAGTGCCACTCTATCTTCCAGAGGGACTGGGGGACCAGCAAGGGTGGCTTCCTAGAGCTGCCACACATCCTTCCATGAGCACCAGGGCAGCAGCCGGGCGGGCAGAGAGGGCAAAGAGCTCTTTCCTGTTACACGCCATCACCACCTCACGCTTCCTATAACCAGCCACACATCTGTGGAAGGCCTTGTAAAGTCAAGCTCCACAGGATGTGACAGGCTGGCTGTACTAGTTGGTATAGACCTCACTGTTCACCAGTATTTCCGGTTTACTCCTGCCCTCTTGAATTTAGCTGTGAACCTGACTTTGCTTTAGCTGCAAGAATGAGCATGGCATGTCGCTTCCAGGTACAAGTGTCATACGCTAGTGCTGACCCTCCTGTCTCCCACATGGGTAGTCCCGATCCCTTCCGTCCATCTGTCTGGGTCCCTGAGTAATCACACTGAGCAGTGCACTCGACCTTCGTGGGACAGAGAGCGAGAGACAAAAGGATCCTTCACGTTTGGAACCACCAAGTTAGGGTTGCCCACGGTGTCACCAGAATGCCCATGCTCTGCGATCCCAGGCCTTACATTCAGTCACTCTGTTTACTTCATGTTAAGTCCTAGACAGATGGAAAGTTCATTGCTAAACAGCAGCATGACTTGAGGTGAGCACAGATCTCACTTCGTAGAAATCTGACCTATTTTGTGAGACTACAGTAGAAATAAATCTTAACAGCCCACCACCCACATCTATCCTGGAAATATGCTCAATCTGACCTCGGAGGAGAGAATAAGATGTGTGCATAAGCACCTGACGTGCGCCAGGCTCCACATAGCCCCACCTGGTATAGATGAGGACACCTGTGTGGGCTTGAGCAGTTGTTGTGGAACATATGGGCTGGCCACCGAAGGCCCAGAGCTCGAGTGTAGCTCACCCCACTGGAAAGGTAGCGGGCTACGAGGGTGCACCTGTCTCACACGCATCTTTGCTGCTTCTTACTGAATCAAGCTTGACTCACAGTGGTCCCCACTCACTCAGTCCCCCAGGAGGCCTCACAGCCGAGGCCTGCTGGAACCTGCACACGCCAGCACCTTCCCGCCAGTGGTTCAAGGAGCAGTGTCTCCTGACGGTCTACTGCTTGTGTGGAGAAAAGCACACGAGACACCCTTACAACAACGTGACTCTTATGTACTGAAAACAATTCTTCACTGAACTCCCTCCCAAAGCACCCTATGAGAAAAGGAGGGGTAAACATGTCACTTCCACAGGTGACCGGGCTGGGACTATTAACAGTGAGGCAGGCATGGGGGTGAGGAAGGCTCCTGTTCTCTTGTGGTGCTGAATTTGTGGAATCCGAAATGCAGCTCTGTGGCCCACCGAGGCATCTCTACACCCCTTGGAAGAGTGGCCATGGGATGGAGCCTGCGCGGCCCGGGGCACCTCACATCCCCATCGGTCTAAGGCCACAGCAGGAATGCCACTGGATTGTTTCTGAAGTCTGAAAAGTCACTGTTCCCACATCAATAACACACACGGCATTGTAATAACATTAAAGGAGGCTAAGAAGGTAAATATTTAAAAATACAAACATTTTTGTTACCCACTCCCCCCACCCCAAATCCAAATAATGACATTCAAAGACTGAGTAAATCTTCCCCAGGCCATCTGTAACAATTCTGATGTAGGTTTGCAACACTGCAGACTGGCTTGTCTGGACGCACATACCCTAATAAATCTCTTCTAATAGAGTAGTAGCAGTTAACATTCAGACCACTCCTGAGACATCGTGGGAAATCCAGGGCCCAGGGACTTCCTAGCTTACTTCCATTGTCCCTTCTCTGAAATCTCTGTGACAGCTTGGGACAGCCTGCCAGGCCCACTATGGTCACACATCCACTTCTGGACACACTGTGACCGGTGTCTGTTCACAACCAGCTTCATGAGGCACTAAACTGATGCGGTTAACATGGAGTCTGGTGACTGACTCTCAGGTCCAACACACTTTATATCCAGAGCTTTATATACATCATTCCAGGACTCACACATCTAGAAGGTTCTATCCTTCTTGTGGGAACTGATGAAAACCAGCAAGAATGAGATTTTCAAGGATGCTTCTAAAAACATTTAATTTCTTGCCATTATGTTTTCTAAAAGTATCTGGAGCATAAAATCGACCCTTTGTGTGTTCAAAGTACAGTGTTCACATTTTATTTTTAATGTAAAGAAGCCATATTTACACAATACATTCATATTTTAAATATGTTACCGCTCTCTATAGAAAACCATTCCATTAAAACAGCAACAAATGATCTGAATTCAATCTTTAAGATACTGAGTCAAAATATTCTTATTAGGACTCCAATTTAATTTCCCAGCGCACCTGCAGAGGGAAGCTGACGAGAAACAGGAATGAAGAGCAGGAGATGAAAAGAGAAATATCCTTCCCCCACAACGTGAGGATTCCACAGGCGGATGAGCCCGGCCACTCACTCGGCCTGGGTTTTGCTGACGGTGCCACAGGGACCAGCCTCCAGCAGTGCTGGACTCGACTGTTCCAGCTGCTGTCCGACAGTCCAACCAGGCTGTGGGACAGTGCAAGTCCCCCTTAGGACCTTCAGAGAGTCACCCTGCCACCACCACTGTAACTGCTGAGGCTGAGGATTAAGGACTCCTCTCCCCACCATTTCAGCTGGGTCACTAGCTGGCTAAAATCAACTTAGTGAGCTCTCATTCCTCTGAAACAGCGCGCAAACTGAAACCACAGAGGACAAACTAAAACGGCCTCCCTCCTTGGATGTGGCTGGCAACCTTCTCAACTGGAGGCTCCTCTTTCTCCTTTTCCCGTTCTTTGTTCCAGTCCTTAAGACCCTCTGGAAGTGAGGTGTCCTCGTCCAAGCTGCCAGTGCCTTCCACAAACTCTTCATAAGTAGATTTTTCTGCAAATGGTCTGGGGCCCAGAAGTTCAACCATATCATTCTTATCTAATACTTCTTTTTCTAACAAGAGAAGAGCCACCTGAAAAACAAACAATTTCCATTAAATGGAATTATGCAGCAAAGTCTATTCAGAGGTAATATAACTGACCCCCTCCAAAGAAGGATTTAAGACCATTGAAAAAGATGTCTCATAAATTAGGTCACATAATTTCAGAGTAAAATGTGCAAAATACTGCAAACAACAAATGTTCATCAATAAGGGAGTGGCTAAACACATTTTGGTACATCTACGTAATGAACAATGACGCATCTGTAACAATATACACCGCAGAGCAATGAGAAAAGCGGGATGTACAATGTGTATAGTATGCCACATGTGCTCTAAAAGAAGGGAAGAATGTACTTTTTACGTGCTGTTAAAGCAAAATAAGCAGGAGGCCATTAGCATGGGGATGTTTCTGTACCCGGGACCCTTACACAAGCAAACTGAAACAACTTAGAGGCACCACTTATAACTAATTACAGTCATGTGCCAAATAAGGACTTTTAGGTCAACGACAGACCGCATATCCAGTGGTGGTCCCAGATTATGACAGCTATTCCATATGGCCTAGGTATGCAGCAGGCTGTACCATCTGGGTTTCTGTACGTACTCCTGTGATGTTCACACAATGGCAAAATTGCCTAATGACATTTCTCAGAATGCAACCCCGTCCTTAATCCACACGACTGTCATTTTGAATACAGCTTCAGTCAATCACAGACAGCCAACTTGCCAACTGGTTGGTTATATAACTTAGGACCTCCCAACAGACTATACCCAAATGGTAAACGCCTAGAAGCAGCCAACCAAGTAGCTTCCTTACTTGGCTTCCATATTCAGCCTATAAAAGCTCACTGCTCGTGCTGCTAGAGTGGAGCTCTCTGAACCTCTTGCTGTTTTCAGTGCTGCCTGATTCATGAATTGTTCTTTGCTCAAAGAAACTGTTAAACTCTTTTGCCTGTTAAAAAGTTTCTCTTGCAACAGTGCTTCTAAATACATAAAGAAATTCTCAAAAGATACATAAGAAAGTTATAAAAGTGGTTTTATGGAGGCAGCAGCTTGGGGGAAAGGATGGAAATAGGGTGAACAGTAAATAAAAAAGTTGGTAGAAAAGAAGTAAATACAAACAAAAGTGTGGAGTTACCAAATGAAGCAGGAAGATCAATATGAAAACATGTATCCCACAGTTCTATTCACTTGCTATGGCTGAACCACAAATTTGACACTACACATTTTAAGAGGTTACAGAAAAAAAGAGACCTATCCAATTATGTGTATGGAGGTGAGTGACAGTATCAGGAGAGCAGGGAATAGCGTTTGTGTCAGATCAGCTGGCCATTACAAAGAGAATTAGCAGCTTAAATTACAAATTGATCTCGTAAAATAGAATGAGCTCCTGAGGCTAACTCTCTACTTAGAAATTTAAGATATGTGCACTTTACCATAAGTTCTAAGTTTTTAAAGATAAAAAATGAAATATTTTTCTTGTCTTTTCAATTTTTTAAATTACTATAGAATATTTCAAATAGGCACAGGAGTAAAAAGAATGGATAACTAGCCCGCATGTAACCACTATCAACAATGACCAACTTAGAGCCATTTTTGTTTCATCAACTCCCTGCATCATTTTAAAGAAAATCCCAGATGTTATATTGTCTTATCCATATATATTTTTGTCTCTATCTTTAAGAGGTAAGGACTCTTTAAAATCCCTGAATACTACAACACTCTTTTTAAATATATTGTTTGTATATATAAGATCTGGACAAATAGCTATAGAATTCTTTCTTAGACCACCTTTAATTTTCAATTAGCATATATGTGTATGCACACAACGCGCACACACACGAACACAGTTGTGGTAACCACTTAAATGTTAATAATGTACTTAAACCCAATACAACAAAAACATTACTCAACATATGATGATATAAGACATTATTGAGATAGTTCATATTCTTTTTTTCATACAAAATCTTCAAACCAGTGTGTATTTTACACTCATAGCACATCTCAATTCAGCTGGCCACATTCCAAATGCTGGGTAGCCACACACGGCTGCCACATAGTTAGAGGTTAGTGGCAAGGGCTCTCTGCCACTCATCAACTACATGACCTTAAGCAAAGGCACTTAACCTATGTAATAGTTTCTTCATCTGTAAAATGGGGATGATAACTTCATGAGGTTGCAGGATTTTTTTGTAAAAAGTGAGTATATCTTAGGCAGTGCCTGGTACACATAAGCTACTGGGAGCATGCTAGCTGGTTACCCTTACTATTCTGAAGCTTGGCCCTACATCGAACTGTCCAACTCCTCACTCTATTGGTGAGAAAACTGAGGCAAAGAGTCTGGAAGGCACTGGCTCTGGCACCTCTCCTCATGACAGATTCCCTATCTCCTGGCTGGCTCTATACTATTCTTAACAGGATGGACCAGAAAGTGCTTCAGAACTCTGTTTAGTATTTCAAGATCCTCACCATGTTAAACCAATTTTCCTTTCAACATTTCTTTGTTACACAGTGTCAAGACATGTGGTATAAATATGGAAGGGTAAGATACCCAGGTTAATGGCCCCAGACCCACGTGAGACTCTGTTACTAGCAAGTGGAATCCTATTCTCAAGTCACTGTAGGCAGACTCTGTGCCTTCACGGAGCTAGTAAACCAGGAGTGAGCTCTTCTGCCTTCCTCTCTTCCGCAGCTCATCTGCATGTTTCGACAGCTGGCTGGGTGTGCAGCCTGGACCCCCCATCCTGGTCCACATGCAGATGCTGCTGCTTGCATCCTCCTGGCTGTCGAGGCTGAACCCTTCATCACTACCTCCCCTTCTGCTCCTGGCCCATGGAGTCACTAGAGGGCTTTCTTCTCTTTCCTTCTTTATATTTCATCAGCAAATCCTGGTTCTTCAAATCTGCTTTTGCCTTTCTATCTCTGCTGCCACCACTGGCACATCTGAGGAATGTCAACATGTGCCTACAACTGCCTCTGAGATGGTCTTCCTAGCCTCCCCATCCTACTCGGGCTGGCACACTGCTGCCACTCTCTTTTTAAATGACGATCTTTAAATCATTTCTGCTCAAGAGTCTTTAAGAACTACTGTAAAACAAGGGGGCTGGGCTAGATCATTTTTAAAGTCACTTCTGTTTCTAAAGCTATGTTCTCGACGTGCCACTCTTCTCTGGAAGGCTGAGTGCTCTGCCATCTGGGCTCAGGCCTGCCCTCCACCTGCATTTCTCTCCTGCCAGGCTCCGTGCTGCGTGCTCCCCCTTCCCTCCCTTTATTCATGGTGACCTGATGATCCTTCAAGGTATGACTCAAGCCCTATCTTCTATAAAGCCTTCCTGGACCACTCTGCCTGCACTGATCTTTCTGTTCTCAGAGACCCAGCTACATGTGTCCCAAGGTCTTGTAGACACTAGCTCTCTCTCCAGTTATACCACCCACTTTTGTGAACAGACAGCACGGATTCTTCTAGCATCACCTAGCTCAGGTTGAAGTTGGTTTCTCTGAAGACTTGCTGATCGAACAGCTTATCTTAGAATATGCTTTTGTGTCAATCCTTATAAAAGGCTTTTTCATTGGTGTTTTCCTCACTAGCGGGTGGCATGTTCAAAGAACAAAAAATTCTAACTTTAGTTGCATGGATTCTGAATAAGGAAGATGTTACTGGATGCAACAAATCCACTGAGCTGGGGAAGGACCCCCCATCTGTAGATGCTATGGAATGAGGTGCGACAGTGGGAACACAAAGTGCGCTATTCACCGAAGCTCGTGGGCAAGCGGAAGGTGACTTCACATGCCGACCTCCTACTTACAATTAGTTTGGCTAATTCTTTTATTTGCCCTTTCATCTTTCACGTCCTATTTATTCCAGAAGTAAAAAACAATGGTAAATTCCAATCAGATAACTGTGCTTCTTATTCAGGAGTACTGGTAAAACATTTGGCAGGGAAGAGTGCTGACTTAATCATTTATTTTGTAGTTATTAACAGACTTCATTAAGCCCTCATTCACATTCCTACTAAGAACCACAAGAGCCAGGACAGTGTCTGCTTTTGCTCACCACTGTGTCCCTACTGCCTTCTGGGGACAGACAGACCCCGGGTGATCAGAATGAATGAATCCAAGAGTCAGCCAGCGAGGGGGAATTCTGGTGTGTAACCAACCAAAACGGTCAATCTATCACTTTAATCTTTTTTTTCAAAACTGTGCAGAGAATTATGCATACAACTCGCACCTACCTTCTCCACGTCAGCTTTCCTCTCTGTGAGAAGAGCCACTGTTCTTTTATAGGCATCATTAATAAGGATTCGTACTTCGTCATCTATCAGTCTTGCGGTGGCTTCACTATAAGGTTTCTCCAACACCATGTCCCCCTGACGTGGGAGGTCAAAGGAGATTTGACCAACCTTTTCATTCATTCCAAACTGCACAATCTGAAAAAGAATATATAATCAGTGGTGGTTATATATTACTACTCTTTGACCTGGCAAAATCTACATAGTAGCCGAGTTGGATGAGTGGACAGGGGTGTTCTGCACACACAGTGGCAGCAATGGCACAGTTCTCCAAACAACTCAGCTAACCCACAGACTACACCTACAAGTCAGGTGACAAACAGTGGGTACATCCCAACAGCTTGTAAGGCCTGCACAATGTTACTGTCCATATGTGAGAAGCAGAGGAGAAGCAAAAAGCACCTGACAGGCCTGAGAAAAGAAGAACCCAACTGCCGACTGATTGTGCTGGGAGGAGAGCTTGCCAGTCTAACAGCTGCAACTAGAAGGGGTATCTGCATTTTTCTTAGAGTTCCGGGACCCAGGGGATGGTGTGAAGAGGCTGACCCAGTCTGCACCCATGAGCCCCCAAAAGCAGCCCCACATTAGGAAGTAGTAAAGTCCTAACTGACCAGAAAAGAGAAGGCCCAGGTAAAAGTGGAGAGCAAGAAGAGACGGAGAGCTCAGAAAGTGGAAAACCATGCTTGCTAACACTTCATGAAAACAGAAAGGGAACTCGAAAGCCATGAAGCTTGAAAAGCTCTCCTAATCCTCCCTCCTAAGGGATCAGGAAAACAAATTTCATGTAAAAATGGGCAACATGGGCCGGCCCGGTGGCGCACTGGATAGTGCGCCGCTTGGGAAGCACAGCGGCGCTCCCGTCCGAGGGTTCGGATCCCACGTGCAGACCGGTTCCCGCTCACTGGCTGAGCGAGGCGCGGGAGCAGCACCGAGGCTTGCGATCCCGTTGCCGGTCCCTGGTCCGGTACGGGGGCAACACTGAGGGTTGCGATCCGTTGCCAGACACAGAAAAAAGACAAAAGACAAAAAAAAATAATAATAAAATAAAAAATAAAAATGGGCAACAGAAAAATCCCTTATGAAGTTGTTACAAGAAAATAGGAACAAGCAGTAATATCTGCACAGATTTTAAAAAGTGGGATGGAGAAACAGGAAAACTATAACCTACTATTCAAAAAAGGCTAAAAGAAATCAGGAAAATGATAGAAAATATAAAAGAATTACATAAATCAGAATTAGAAAAACTTAGATGAAGTGCTAGAATGCAGGAAAAAATTACATATAAGAGAAAAATTATTTTTAAAATGAAGATTAAACTAGAAAGAAACAAGAGTGAATAATCGTAACACTAACACCCTGAGAGAAATACAAGATAAAAAAGACAAGAAAAAAGGTTTTTTAAATGAGGTATTAAAAAGGATTTGAGAGACTGGCGGGTTAGCTCCCTTGGGACAGCATGGTGCTGGTAACGCCAAGGTCAAGGGTCCAGGTCCCCTTACCAGCCAGCCGCTGAAGGAAAAGAAAAGGATTTGGGAAGGTGACAGACACAGAGGATAGGCAAAGAAGGGCTGACAGGAATAACAGAAGTTCCCAAGGAAAGCCATTTACATCAAGTTCAAAAAGAGGGAAACTCTGTTGTCTGGGGACTTGGGCACCTGAGCTAAGACGTAAGGAAAGCCAGGGAGCGATGACAGCAAGAACGAGGAAAGAAGGTGCAGGCAGGTCCCCGTGGGAGTGACGATAGCAAGAGCCAGGAAAGAAGGTGCAGGCAGGTCCCCGTGGGAGTGACGATAGCAAGAGCCAGGAAAGAAGGTGCAGGCAGGTCCCCGTGGGAGTGACGATAGCAAGAGCCAGGAAAGAAGGTGCAGGCAGGTCCCCGTGGGAGTGACGATAGCAAGAGCCAGGAAAGAAGGTGCAGGCAGGTCCCCGTGGGAGTGACGATAGCAAGAGCCAGGAAAGAAGGTGCAGGCAGGTCCCCGTGGGAGTGACGATAGCAAGAGCCAGGAAAGAAGGTGCAGGCAGGTCCCCGTGGGAGTGACGATAGCAAGAGCCAGGAAAGAAGGTGCAGGCAGGTCCCCGTGGGAGTGACGATAGCAAGAGCCAGGAAAGAAGGTGCAGGCAGGTCCCCGTGGGAGTGACGATAGCAAGAGCCAGGAAAGAAGGTGCAGGCAGGTCCCCGTGGGATCACACACGCTTACAAGTAAACACTCGACTCTACACACGTGCTTTGCATGCCCTCAGGAAACAAACTTTGAAGACTGCACTACAAAAAAGGTTTCTTTTCATAAGTTTTGATTACTTCAAAATGAATTTCTTTAAGAAATAAACAATCCTTGCCTTAAAAGGCCTAAACCAGTCAACACAATTTTATCATTTCTGAGCCATTCAAGAATGTCAACTTCTCATGCGAATGTGAGAAAATGAGGAGAAACACTCCATTTCACACACTTACTTGGGCGTATGCACTCTGAGTTACTTTTCTCAAGTCATCTTGAGCACCAGTTGTGATTCTTCCAAAGAAGATTTCTTCTGAGACTCGACCACCTAAAGTCATACACATCCTATCCAAGAGCTGCTCTTTGGTATACAAGTATTGTTCTTTTGGTAAATACTGAGCATAACCTAATCCTTTGCCACGTGGGATGATGGACACCTGGTAAGCAGAAAACATACAAAATATTGAAGATTCTATTACCAACAGCAGGCCTGATCAAAACGTTTGATAAAAATAAGCACAAGGAGCGGGGCAGTCCCTGGTGTTGGCAGGATGAGATCTGGAAGTAGTGCCTGTTCAGGACAGATGTTTTCTTAGGATAACTTCACCTTACAGTTCTGAAAGTTTTTCATTTCTTTCTGTAAAACTCAATTGAAATGACTGAGTCTGGACAAAAGGCCTTCCTGGTGGAGGGAGGACAGTGCCTCCCACTGCTGGAACACGGCAGGCTGGACTCAGCTCCACCTCGACTGGCCCGCACCCTCTCTCAGACGAGGGAGGGGCAAGGTGGCTGCGATGCTCACAGCCTTCATCTTCTTTTTTAGTCCTCTTTTTCCAATGAAGTAAATTCATTTAATTTTTTAAAACTCAACTTTATTGAGGGTTGATTTCTATACAGTAAAATGCACCAATTTTAAGTGTACAGTTCAACGAGTTCTGACAAACATAACCTACAACCACAATGAAGATACAAAATATTCTCATCATGCCAAAAAGCTCCCTGTACGCTTTGTAGTCAATCTTCCCTTCCCCACCCAGCCCCAGGCAGCAGCAGACGCACTTTCTACCCTGTGGATTCACTTACGAGGTCTGGAACTGCATGTTAATGCAATCGTCCAGTGCGTGCTTTACTGTGTCTAGTTTCTTCATTTTTAAGACTCACTCACACTGCTTTGCACGTCAATCATTCATTTTTACTGCTGTGTAGCATTCCACTGCATAAACGTAACACATGTCCATCTCCTTTTTGATGGATATCAGGGCTATTTTCAGTTTACTGATATAAACAAAGCAGTAACAGTCTCTGTGTGGACATGTTTTTTTTTATTTCTCTTGGGTAAACATCTAAGATGGTCATTCAGCCATGTGGAAGTGTTTATAAGAAACTGCCAAACTGTTTTCCAAAATGGTTGTACCACTTTACATTCCTCTCAGCAGTGTATGAGTGTCCCAACTGCTCCACATCCTCAGCAACACTTAAGACTGTCTCTTTAACTTCAAACCATTCCAGTGAGTGTTTTGGTGTCTCATTGTGAGTTAATTCGCATTTCCCTGTTGACTAATGACACTGTCTTCATGTGCTCAATGCCCACTGACACATCTTCTGTGAAGTATATGTTCACATCTTTTGCCCATTGTTTTACTTGGTTGCTTATTTTCTTATTATTGAGTTTTAAGAATTCTTTATACATTCTAGGGACAAGTCCCTTGTCCTAGATGAGTACATGGATTGCAAGTATTTCCAGAGTGTATGGCTTGCCCTTTTCATTTTCTTGACCATGTCTTTCAAAGATAGAAAGTTTAAAATTTTGATGAGATACCATTAATCAGTTTTTTATTTTGTGGTTCATGCTTTTTGTGCCTTTAGTTTTTATGATCTATTTCAATTTAAATTTTTGCCTATGATATAAGGGTTAATGTTCACTTTTTTTCCATATGAAAACTGAGTTGCCAGAACCATTTGTTAAGACAATCCTTCCCCCTTGAATTACTTTGTACTTCTGTTGAAATCAATTAGCCAACCATGTGGGTCTCTTTCCAGACTGTTCTATCCCACCCCTTCACCAGCACTGCAGTCTCCATTACTGTGGTTGTGTGCAAAATCTTAAAATTGGCTACAGTAATCTTTCAACTTAACTGTTTTGGCTATTCTAGTTCATCTGTATTTCATACAAATTTTAGATTCAGCTTGTCAATTTTTACAAAAAAATTTGCCATAAGAGATTGCATTAAAACTACAGATGAATTTGGGCAAAACTGACGTTAACAGTCCATGAACACAGTATATCTCTATTCTTATTTAGCTCTTGTTTTAATTTAGTGTGCAGGTCCTATAAATATTTTCTTAAATTTGTCCTTCCATATTTCATGTTTTTGAATGCTACTGAAAATGAAATTGAATTTTTAAAATTTCTTTTTGCAGTTGTTCATTGTTAATATACAGACATACAATTGGTCTTTGTACATAGACCTTAAATTCTGCAACTTTGCTAACTTCATTTAGTTCTAGTCACTTCTCTGTAGACTCTTTAGGACATTTTATGGACACTCTAATGTTGCCTTCTCTGTGGTTTCCTTGCCTCAGGGGACCCCCTCAATTTCCAGCTGCTCTCTGACATGGCAAGGCAGTTGAGTGGCTGCTTTCTGTTGTCTGTGCTGCACAGGTTTGGGGAATGCACTCAGTTGGAAAAGCAGAAAACTTGAAAATCTCACCTGGTACACCCCTGTCTTTCAATGGTAGATTTTTCTTTGGTCTCTGCTTACTTTTTCGCGAGGATCTCTGGGGCAGCCCCTATACACAGTGGTCAGCCAGAGATTTGGGCAGTTTCTATCACATTTGGGTCTCACCCACTGTAGTTTTCTTTCTTCCAAGATTTTCCTGTTAAATTTCCAATATTCTTCAAATCCTGAACTCTCTCTTCTGCCACCTCAAGATGGTAAGGCCAACATTTTCCACCACTATAGTGTGGAGGTTTTGGAAAACCTTCAGGCAAGAAAGCCACAAATTCCCAATTCTAACCCCTGTCAGCTATTGCTTTTAAAGAGCAAACTCTTGGGCCAACCCCGTGGCTCACTCAGGGTAGTGCAGTGCTGGGAGCGCAGCAGTACTGGAGCGCCGAGACCGAGGGTTCGGATCCTATAAAGGGATGGCTGGTGCGCTCAATGGCTGAACATGGTGCGGGCGACACCAAGCCAAGGGTTACAATCCCCTTACCGGTCACAAAAAATAAAAAATAAAAAGAGCAAACTCTCTTCCACCTTTGGTCTACTTTTGAACACTTTTTAATCTCTTTAAATATTTTTCTGGATGCTGGCCAGTTAGCCAAATGGGTAGTGTGTGGTGCTGGTAACACCAAGGTCAAGGATTCAGATCGCTGTACTGGCCACCCGCCAAAAAAATTTTTTTAAATAAAAGGTTTTCTGTCCAAATTTTATAACTTAACTGCAGGAAAATGTGTGTAACCACTTCATTCAACCATGACTACCAGAAGTTTTTGCTAAATTCCTTTAAAGTTAAACATCTTGTATATTTATCCTTTGTGCAGTGCAGCTTTCTTCTCAACTGCAGTCAAGTAATTGCTCAAATAAGCTGGCCTGCCTGCTGTCCAACACAAACCGGGTCACCTTTAAGAGTGGGTCTGCGTGTTCCAGATACCAGCCAGCAACCGCATGGCCTGCTTCGTGGTACGCCACAGTCTTCTTCTCCTCGGGCTGCAGAACCTGAGTTTTCTTCTCTAAGCCTAACAAAATAATAACAAAAAACCCAAACCACTGTTTTAGTGACAATGACATTAAAGACAGTTTTACAATGCTACATGTTGCTTTATCTAAAATGTGATTTAGAGATTAAGTTGCCTATGACAATTCAAAAATCCCTAATCAAGGCCAGAATAAAAGCAAAGGATCAACTTCAAAATATACCCAACTACAGCAAAAACCATTCACTCTCCGTACCACATTTATCCTAATTCTGCCACTCTATTAAGGCACATATCCTGTTCTGCCAAATAAATAGAAATGTGAAATAAAATTCAGCACTTAGATGAATTTAAAACATAAAATCCATAGAAAACAAAGAACTCTGAAAAGGTCCTGACTGCTTAGGCTAGGTATTCAGAATTATTCAACACTAGGTAAACAAAGATGCCTACCATGTGAGAGAGATCAACTGTTGTCTGTCCTGGTGGAAGGCAGACGACAGTCTGAGCTGGTAAAAGATCTGGAAATAGCTCCTCAGAGCTGACTAAGCTGGTGCTGGAGCACCCAGCACACTAACTGAATGCCCAGGGGCTCAAAGAATCAACCCCAGAAGCAGCAGAATAGAGCCAAGAAGGTAAACCCCCAGAGCCACGGGGTCTAAAAGACTGGGGCAGGAGCCTCATGTCACCTGCAAGGCTACAGGACTCCCGCCTAAGCACAACTCCTCTCTGGCCTGGGTAAAGGCGGACTCTGGCCTCTGCACCTGCTACCTTAAGAACCGACTCCACACACTCTGCACTATGACAAGCCATCACACTGTGTCACAAGCAGTTCTGTGTTCAATGTGATTCACATGAGAGACTCTCTCAACTGACAACACATCAAGGAGACTGGAAGATGAAAAGCTATGCTCCCAGTGGCATACCCTAAGACGGTATACACAAGTCAGAAATATATCAGAGCTGCCAGGTTGAAAGCTGTAAAGGGCAAGTTAACAAGTCCTCTGTTTTCCATAGCTAAGCACTTCTTGCTTATCTGAAAAAACAAAGGATAATTTTCCCCAGAGCTGATCACAGGAATTTTTCATTTTCTCAGCATGCCACCTTACTACACAGCCACGCATGTGGCTCTGGTGTCCGTGGCGGTGCTATCGAGTGCCTGCTTCCACCTGCTCAGAGCCAGCACTGCAGCTCTATGGTAGCCCGTTTTTTTTCTCACACCCTCACGCATCACCTGTCCTCGACCTAAAAAAGGCACAAATACAGTGTTCACCTGTCTCTACAGTGAATTACTTTAACTCCATTCACAGATCTATCACCTCAGATTTTTTTTTTCAATAACAAATTTATAAAGTGGTCTATGAATTAATCCATTTGATAAGTAGTTGTTTATTTAGCATGTAACCCAGCTATGCACACGTATATCCCAGCCTCTGTGTTCTCACTGGAATCTCCACTAGTCTGGTTTTATACTCTCCACTCAGCTGAAACTGTCACGTCAAATATCACCCAGAACAGGCTCACTGCTAACTCCAAAGGTCATTCTCTTTTATACCCCACATCGCTTGATCCTGATGACAACTCCTCCTTTGTAAGCTCATATGTCCTTGTCTCCTCTCTCCAACCACTGGGTTCCTCTGGTGACACCCTTTGTCATGTTTGCAGATGCACCTTCAGTGCCTGGGGCACACAGTGAGCTCTGGTGACTCTATAGACTTGCTTCTCTCCCCCCTCTGCTACCACAGGTGGCCACATTTCCTCTCTGGGGAACCTGTTCCCTGAGTGGCTTCACCCACCTGCACGAGTCCTTCTGGCACATCATGGGACCACTACCACCTGCACACTTGGTGCTGCACCAGAGTTCCATGTGGACATCCTTCCCGTCTCAATCTCAGCATATCTCATTTTCTGCCAACCCAGCTCCCTCTGGGAGCGCCCATGGACTCTGTAGCCTATACGTCTGTCCTTTTCCACCTGTTATCATTGGTAGTACCCGTGCTAAGCCTGTTAGCATGGGAAGGTTCTCTGCCTCCAGATGCTTCACTCTTCTTCACAGGCAGATTCATTTTCCTAAAATACCACTGACTGTTATGACTCTCAGTGGCTCAGGAAAAAACCCACCTCAGTTCAATACTGGCCACAGGACAAAACTTTAAAAGCCCTTGAGCTTAACATTCAAGGCCTTCCAAAATCTAGACTTAAATAACGTGTTTCAACTCTACCGTACTCTCCCTGGGAAGACGCACCCGCAGCTTACATCCCTCCTAACGCAGGGTGCAATGCCGCCTCCTGCAGTCTTTCCTTTGGTCAGGCCACCTTCACGCCCACCCGTTATGCCACTGAACAGTTACACCCCACCTCTTCTGTGGGGCGCTGCCTCCTTTGAAGGCCCGAGTACCTGAATTGCTAGCTATTTTGGGGGTATAAACTATAAGCTGCACAGAAAGCAAGGAAAACACGTGGTGGCAAGGTAAGCACTTCCTGGTCAAATAGCTGCTGCATCTGCTTTACATCCGTCACCTCTGCCCAGCACAGAGCACATCTCTCTCCCGTGATGAAATCTTTGGAAACAGAAGGGCTGTGTGCTTTTTCTAAACCTAGACTGGCGTAATTCAGGGCAGCTGTCTCACTGCTTGCCCCCGCCCAAGTGGTGCATGTGTGAGCTGTCCTCTCACCCGCACACCGGCCTCCACGCAGGAGATACCACAAGAACTCACGGCAGCACCCAAGCAGGCAGTGAGCCTGGAGCTAAGCAAACACACTGTCTTTGCTTCCAGATCTTGCCAAAACAGAGAATTCCCTGTACTCAAATTCATTTCATCAGCCTTTCGACTTGAGTTACATTCAGTTGCCTTACCACCAATCACTCGTTCAATTGCTTGCTCAAAGTGTTTCTGATTTATGGAATCTGAAAGGTGTCTTGCAGCAATCAAAGCAGCTTCATTGCAGACATTAGCAACATCAGCTCCTACAAATGAACATGCAGAATAGCTTATCCACATCATGGATAGATAACCAAACCCATAATCAATCTATCAACCAGCAATAGACAGAAAAACGGCTTTATGAAAATACAGTTTAGTTTGGTTCATGATAACCCTAAGCCACTCTACCATTTAGTATTAGCTTAAGTACAATCCTGGCCCTCTGAACTGAGATGAAAGAATTAGTAGTAAATACATAATTATAGGCAACTATTTACCATAATAAACAATAGGGCTCATTTAACAGCAAACTAAGACAATATTTTAAAATGCTCATTAGTTAACTTTGCTGGGAAAAAGGCTTATGTGGAGATTAGGCAATATGTTGACATAAAATGATAAACATAAGCATTAAAACAACCTAGCAAATTCAGTTACAGAACTAAATTTAAATACGTGAAGCTTGCCAAACCCAAATGCTTTTTAGATCCACAGGTGCCTTTAAATTAACTTTTCAGACCAAGTATATGGTTAACACAAATAAACTATAGCACAAAGTATGTACTCAATAAACAAATATTAAAACATTATAAATTCCAAAAATAAGAAATAAGTACAAAGTTAGGACCCCTGGGACACTTAAAATGACCATCTTCTGACCCTCCAACTGTACATAATCTTTTTGTACTTCTCAAATGTTCCTTTTCATTTCATTTCGGGTTTGGAAGGAGGGAGATAGGAAATGAGAAAGGATCATATTTTATATTAAAAATTCCATGATCGGGCCGGCCCGGTGGCGCACTGTTACAGTGCGCCGCTTGGGAGCGCGGTGGCGCTCCCGACAAGGGTTCGGATCCCACATACAGACCGGTTCCCGCTCACTGGCTGAGTGAGGTGCGGGCGCAACACCAAGGATTGCGATCCCGTTGCCAGTCCGGTCCGGTACGGGCGCGACACTGAGGGTTGCGATCCATTGCCGGACACGAAAAAAGACAAAAAGGAAAAAAAAAAAAAAAATTTCCATGATCCACTTGAAAAGATGCTCAATATCACTAGTTATTAGATAAACGCAAATCAAAACCACAATGAGACACCACTTCACAGCCACCAGGACAGCTGTGACTGAAGACAGACAGTAACAAGTGCTGGTGAGGACGTGGAGGGACTGGAGCCTCACGCACTGCTGGTGGGACTGTAAAATGGTGCAGCCACTTTGGAAAAGTCTGGCAGTTCCTCAGAAAGTTAAATATAGAATTATCATACGACCCTGTAATTCCCCTCCTAGGTAAATAACCAAAAAAAGAGAAAACATGTTCATCCAAAAATCTGTACATTAATTTTTTTTTTTTTTTGTCTTTTTTTGTGTGTGTGAGATCGGCCACACCGCGCTCAGCCAGTGAGCGCACCGGCCATCCCTATATAGGATCCGAACCTGCGGCAGGAGTGCTGCTGCACTCCCGAGTGCGCCACGGGCTCGGCCCTGTACATTAATGTTGATAGCAGCATTATTCATAACCAACAGGTGGAAACATCCCAAATATCCATCAACTGATAAATGGATTAACCACACGTGGAATATCCATACGATGGAACATTATTCAGCCATGGAAAGGAATAAGGTTCTGGTACCTGCTACAACATAGATGAACCCTGGAAACATGCTACGTGGGCATAAGTCAGGCATAGAAGACTACATTTTATATAATTACATTCATATAAAATGTCCAGAATAGGAAAATCTAAAGGGACAGAAAGTAGATTAGGGATTGCTTATGGCTAGGGTGGAGGGAGTGGCCGTTAACAGATTCTTCTGGGGTGATGAAATGTTTTAAAATTATAGTGATGGTTGCTGTACTGTAGTGGATTGAATTGTATACCCCTGAAACTCAATGAAGCTTGAATTTTGTCCAAATTTCATATATTAGAAGCTTGATCCCCACTGTAACTGTTGAGGGTGGGAAATCCTATTATGGTAATTGACAGGTGGGACCTTGAAGAAGTGATCAGATTGCAGGACCATGCCCAGTGAATGGATTAAAGGTACTGGTCAGGGTGTGGTTCTGAGGGCTTTAAAAGAGAGAAGAGAGTCTGTCTGTCTCTGCTCCCACCATCTTGCAATGTGAGACCCCTAGGTGACTGTCGGCACCACCAGATGTGTTCCCAGGACTTTGAACTTCCCAGCCTCAGAAACTGTAAGCAATAAATTTCATTCTCTTTATAAATCACCCAGTTTCAAGTATTTTGTTATACGCAACAGAAATGAACTAATTCAGTTGCACAACTATGTAAATATCCTAAAAACCACTGAACCACTTCATATAGGTGAATTCTATGGTATGTTAATTTTATCTCAGGAGTTGGTAAGTGGGGGTGGATAGATAAAATGAGGCCAAATGTGAATCAGGAATTGTTGCTGAAGTGAGGTGGTGGGTGCAGACAGGCTCAGTGCACTACTTCCTCAAACTCTGTGTGTGTTTGACATTTCCCATAATAACAAGGTAAAAACACACACTCAGGAAGCCCCAAGGCTCATGAGCAGTAAGACAGGGAAATGGCACCTAGGAACTGTCACTGATTTATAAGTACTTACAGACAGGACAGCGGTTATTTTTCACTCACCTGAAAACCCTGGAGTTAAGGATGCAAGTTTTCTGGCCAGTTTCTCTCTTTCCAGGGCACTGTCCAGCTTTAGGGGTCTGAGGTGAACTTTGAATATAGAGGCTCTTCCTTTTATGTCTGGTGGTCCTTTATAAATTATTTTTAAGGGAAAAAAAAGTCAGTGAAACAGTCCCACCTATACCCATGAGAACTGGACTAAACTCAGTGAACATCATCTCACCAATAAAGATTTGCCTGTCAAAACGCCCTGGCCTCATCAGTGCAGGGTCTAGGATATCTGGTCGATTGGTGCCTGCCAGAATGACAACATTTGTTGTTGTGTTAAAGCCTGAAAGACAACAATGAAAATGCAATCACTACTAAATGACAGGAGGCAGAAAGCAACAGTGTGCCTGTCAAGAACGTATGAGCACTACAGGTGCACAGCGACGCTAAACATTTTTTGTTTATTATCCAGAGCTTTTTACATCACCAACTTGGATTATTTTTCCTACTATTCATCTTGTCCTTAATGATTATAATCATATACTAGACTTAAGTTTTAAGAACCAGTTTTCTAAAAGCAAATAACCAAAGATTTTATTTCACTAGAAATTTAGATGTAGTCAATTTTAAACTTGTTTTCAAATCAATTAAACTAAATCTGCCAGTGGCGTGTCTGATTCCCAGGGGCCCTGCATGTCTGAAGGCAGGTGTCAACCTCAGCCTCCACTTCCACCTCTTCCCCAGACACAACATGCTCAGTTTTATCAGCCACTCCTGAAATGTCAGTGACAGGGTCCTGGATCCTTCACCCCCACGACCCTGGCTCTGAGAGAGCTCCTGGGCTGATTTTCCCCAGAGGTGGCACTCCAATCGAACATACCATTCCAAATGCAGACTCAGCACCTACAGAATGGGGGATGACTCTACCTTCTTGCTACTACTGCTGCTGCGCCTGGCTTCGTCACCTAGACCCATTCAGTACTTGGCACTGAGCTTACCCTTTCTGCACACAGAACCAAGCATCCAGATACCCTCCAGTGGGAAGGACACGGCATGTCCTAAGAACTGGCTTTCCTAAATGAAAGAAAACCTGACTCGCTCGGGAAGACTGCTACTCTCTTACATCAGAGTATTTGAAATTTGCCAAATTCACACCTGCTTACACTTGCTTTTCCTGATGCTTCAGAATCAAAGACGATGAGAATCACAGAAAATGAGCCTATAATTCTTTTGTGAATTATTTCACAATTTTTTTCTTATTCAACATCAGGTACAATATTAACACCTTGACACCAATATTAAGTTATGGCAGGCTGCCAGGCAAAAATATTTCACCGTTATCTGTACTGGTCTAAAAGAGCCTTTAAAAAGGGCTGTTTGGGGCCGGCCCGGTGGCGCTTCAGTGCGCCGCTTGGGAGCGCGGCGGCGCTCCCGCCGAGGGTTTGGATCCCATATAGAGACCAGTCCGCTCACTGGTTGAGCGCAGTGCGGGCGCGACACCGAGGGTTGTGATCCCGTTGCCGGTCGCGGTATGGGCGCGACACCAAGGGTTGCGATTCCGTTACCGGTCATGAAAAAAGACAAAAAGGAAAAAAAAAAAAGGGCTGTTTTAGAAAATGCGCTTTTTTTTTTTTGGTGCACAATCTCAGAATAAGGATTCTCATTTTGCAGAGATGTAAGACAACTGGAAAGTTAGTTCAAAACACAAAGGCCGGGCCGGCCCGGTGGTGCACTGGAGAGTGCACCGCTTGGGAGCACAGCGGTGCTCCCGCCGAGGGTTCGGATCCCATGTGGAGACCGGTTTCCGCTCACTGGCTGAGCGCGGAGCGGGCGCAACACCAAGGGTTGCGATCCCGTTGCCGGTCCCCGGTACGGGCGAGACACCGAGGGTTGCGATCCCGTTACCGGTCAGTAAAAAAAAAAAAAAACACAATGGCCTTGGGTGCTCACCGTCCATCTCCACGAGCAGCTGGTTGAGCGTGTTCTCCTGCTCACTCTGGCCTCCGAAGTTGCCCCTCCCACGCTTCCTTCCCACCGCGTCGATCTCATCAATGAAGAGGATGCAAGGCGCATTCTTTCGGGCAAGGGCAAACAAGTCCCGAACCTTAATAAAAAGAGAAACTCATGAGCCGGCCCCGTGGCGCACTCGGGAGAGTGCGGCAGGTTCGGATCCTATATAGGAATGGCCGGTGCGCTCACTGGCTGAGCGCGGTGTGGGTGACACGAAGCCAAGGGTTGCGATCCCCTTACTGGTCACAAAAAGGACAAAAAACAAGAGAAACTCAAGAGTCACTTGACCAGTGAGTATTACTTATCCTCCTAATAAAAAATAAACCTCAAGTTTCCTGTCCCATTTAAAGGCAGTCTTTTTGTGCTACACACTGTACAGTACATAGTTAAAAACAGTTACAAGTAGCAAACAAGTGGCAAATGATGGGTAACTTGATGAGAAACTGATTTTAGGTGAACAAATATCATTCCTATATCCCATAAATTACTGTTATGTGTAATAAACACTAATAATATCTGCTACTTCTGTAACACCAACAAATTAATATTACATACCTTGCCCTACAGAAAGACAACATAATAGAGCCACAAACGTTACACTCAGCTGCAAAGTTCATACTTCTCCACGGTTCACGTTTCATGCCCAAGGCAGTTTCTAACAAATAGGAACTTACTGACAGATCTATGCAATACTATACCTAAGTAAAGGCCAAGCCTACCTCACTGACCACCGAGGAGCATGCAACAATGCCCTAGCCCTCAAAACACGGCTGTGACAGGAGCAGCTGCTGGGGCCCTTGCACCCACAGGCTGTCCAGCTAAACATGTCCCCCTCAGGCCAGGTTGAAGTGGGCAGAAGGAGTGGCCTTCCCCATCCTCCCCTCTGGGCCCTGCCCCTTCTAAGACACTCAGAGACAACTCCCTGTGCTTCACATCCCTTCTTACTTCACCTGCCAGAAGCCTCAGTCTCCCCACTGTCCTTTCCCACCTGTACTTCTGGATTTTCATTCCTACACTGCTCTGAACATACACCCTTATATAACTCATGTCCCTCTACAGCCTCCCCTCTGAACTCCAGATCCATGATGAGCAGACCTCACACCCTCAAGCTCGACCCTGACACGTCCTTTGCCTCCTTGTCTGAACAGGAACCTGGCACCCTGCAAAGCTGGCAAGTAGAAGGGGTTTGTATCTTCCCCTCCAGGCCAGCTAGAGTGGGGGTCCACCTTACACCCTACTACTACTGCCCAAGTAATTCTGCTGGAAAAAACCCCAGGCTCCTTGAGATTCCCACCATATGGTAGGCACTCTACCTTCCTTGTAATCTAGGCAGTGTGGTATTGGCATAAGGACAGACATACATATCAACAGCACAGAACTGAGAGTTCAGAAATAAACCCATATATCTATCTACGGTCAAGGGTGCCAAGACCATTCAATGGGGGAAAAAAATGTCTACTGATACTAGGAATACTGCACATCCACATGCAAAAGAATGAGGTTAGACCCTTACCTGACACCATATACAAAAATTAACTTAAAATGTATCATGGACCTAAATGTAAAAGCTAAAACTATAAAACTCTTAGAAGAAAACATAGGAGGAAATGCTCATGGCCTTGGATTTTGCAATGAATTCTTAGATATGACACCAAAAGTGTAAGCAACAAAATAAAAAATAGATAAATAAGACTTCATCAAAATTAAAAACATTTGTGCTTCATCAAGAAAATGAAAAGGCAACCCACAGAATGGGAGAATATTTGCAAATCATATATCAAATTAGGAGTTAGTATCCAGAAAATATGAAGAACTCTTACATCTCAACAACAAAAAGATAAAACAATCCAATTAAAAAATGGGCAAAGGACCTCAATAGACATCCCTCCAAGGAAGACATACAAATGGCCAATGTGCAGATGAAAAGTTGCTCAACATCATTAGTGATGGAGTTTGGATGTGTTGTCCTCCCAGAACTCATGTGGAAATCTGATCCCCAATGTGGCAGTGTTGGGGTGTTTAGAGCTGTTTGAGCCATGGGGGCAGATCCCTCATGAATGGATTAATGCTCTCCCTGGGAGGGGGGTTCCTGAGTGAGATCTTACTCTATTAGTTCCCACAAGAGCTGGTTGTTTAAAAAACCCTGGGCACCTCCTCTCTCTCCCTTGCTTCCTCTTGCCATGTGATCTGCTTGTCCCCGCTGGCTGCTGTTTTCTGCCATGAGTAGAAGCAGCCTGAGGCCTACGCCAGATGCAGCTGTCCCAGAATCATAAGCCAAATAATGCTCTGTTCTTTATAAACTACCCAGTCTCAAGTATTCTGTTATAGCAGCACAATAACAGACTAATACAATTAGTCATCAAGAAAATGCAAATCAAAACCATAATGAGATACCACGTCACTCCCATTAAGATGGCTATCATCAAAAGGTCAGGTAACAACAAATGTTGGTGAGGATGTGAGAAATCAGAACTTTTATACACTGCTGGCAGGAATGTAAAATGGCACAAGTATTTTGGAAAATTCTGGTGGGTCCTCCAAATGTAAAACATAGTTGCCATGTAACCCGAAAACATTTTGCTAAGTAAAAAAAGCCAGGCATAAAAGATCACATGTGTATGATTCCATTTATATAAAATGTGTGTGGAACAGAAAAATCTATAGACAGAAAGTACATTAGTGTTTGCTTAGGGGTGGGAATGGGGCAGGAGGGACAGAGAGGTGACAGTTAAAGGTCCGGGGATTCATCTTAAGGTGACAAAAATGTTGTAAAATTGACTATGGTGATGGCTGCACAAATCTGTGACTATACTAAAATCTGAACTGTACACTTTAAGGGGATGCATTTTATGGTATATGAATTATATCTCAATAAAGCTGTTACCAAAAAAAAAAAAAATCCACAAATTAAAGCCTCTTCTTGAAATGTAAGTTAGAATTAGATTAGGACTGTAGTCCCAGCTGGAGTGGGGAAAGCCAGGGTGGATATTGTAGGCCTTGGTGGAGACTTAGCCCTGGAAGAGCACCTAAGGCCATGGCTGGCAAGAGGCCACTCCAGGACTCCAGAGAGCACAGCCACCTTCACCAAGTCCCCATGTGGGGGAAACTGGTGGGGGAAGGGGCCGCACCACCAAAATAGAACAAGACTTACTCGAGCTGGACCCACACCAACAAACATCTCCAAGAACTCAGATCCACTAACAGTGATGAAGGGGACGTTGGCTTCTCCAGCTGTGGCCTTAGCTAGCAGTGTCTTCCCAGTGCCTGGAGGACCAGTGAGAATGGCACCCTTCACGTATAATAAAGAGAAATTACGCTTAATTAGAATTTCAAAAAAGTAAATTGGATATCCACAAATAATTCCAAGGTATAACTCTGTCCATAAATCTTATTGACATACATTAAATATTTTTTAAACATTTGAACTACAGAAGAACATTTTTACATTAGTAAGAAAAATAAGAAAAGAGTTATTAGAGACAATTTTGTTTCAGAAAATTTGGTAAGAATGTGAAATCTTAAATAATCCCTTTATTTTATAAGATTTTCAGTGTTGCATTTTAGGCCTTTAATCTAACAGTATATATAAAGGGTGACTTAAGCTAGGAAGCTACTAATAAACCAACCGAGGTTTACATAAATAAGTCAAGAAGACACAAACACCAAACTCCAATTTATATAATTATCTTACTCTTTACAAGTAAAATTGGTTTTTGAACTGAAATAATAAACCTAACCACTAATTTCTACTTTCATATACAAGTCTGTACATTTCTAGCACGGATGAACTTGTGGCTTAAAACCTAACTCTGTGAATTTGCTTTTGTGTTCATTTTCCATTAAGTGACTAGCTATAAACAGTGTCGTCTCTCTGTTATAAACAGACATGCCTCCATTCCACCACATTCCCAAATACTGGTGTGGCAAGGTAGATAACATGGTCAAAAGATATTTCTTCCCCAGTCTTTGTAAAAAAACTTTAAGGTATTTTTAATTTTGCTTGTTTTCTTCTTTAAAAGTTTCACAAATGAAATAAAAATCTAATGGCCAATGATTAACTTAACTAAAAAGAAAAACTGTAAGTGTTTGCTCAAGTATGAAACTATTATACTGAGTTGCAGAGCTGCCCAGGCATGATGTGACTGGGCACTAAGTAATAGCAAATTATAAAATCATAAAACATGACTTTTTATCCATTAAAGGCAAGACATGAGGGCCGGCCCGGTGGCACACTGGATAGTGCGCCGCTTGGGAAGCACGGCGGCGCTTCCGTCCGAGGGTTCGGATCCCATATACAGACCGGTTCCCGCTCACTGGCTGAGCGAGGCGCGGGAGCAACACCGAGGCTTGCGATCCCGTTGCCGGTCCCTGGTCCGGTACGGGGGCAACACTGAGGGTTGCGATCCGTTGCCGGACACGGAAAAAAGACAAAAAGACAAAAAAAAAAAGGCAAGACATGAAAATCAAGGAAATGATGATCCCCTTTACAAAGGATTCCTTTAAAGTAAACTTTTTAAATAGATTTAAAAAGAATCAGTTAAACATTTTTTACTCATTTACTGATAACAGATCCATCCAACAAACACAAAGTGTCGATTCTGTGCTCGCCCTGGAGGCACAAAGCCTGTGGGGCAGACCCGGCACAAGCAGGGTGGGTGGGTGCACTGGTGGGACTAGGGAGGCGACCAGGCACAGGCAGATGGTCTGCACACACCTGTGGAGTGAGGGGGCACTGGGGAACAGCAGAGCGAGCTATGCCCCGGGTGCTACGGTTACTGAGCAATGCGGCAGCTGAATCAGACTGGAGGGAGAAGGTGAATCAAGGCAGGCTCCCAAGAAGAAATAACACAAATATTCTCAGGAATGCATACACTACACACAAGGCGGCACATGCACGCAGAAAACTAACCCAAAAGACTCCCAAGTTGGGCACCGACTAATACGCTATGATAGAGGAAGGACAGAAATACAGCTACTTATAATACGTAATCAAATGTTATAAAATTACAACTTCAGAGATCAAGAAATTCTTCAAAAGATTTTGGGTTAATCCTCTGAAAGTTCATTTTACCTTTGGGATTTTTGCTCCTAGGTCTTGATACTGCTTTGGGTTTTTCAAGAAATTCACAAATTCCATGATCTCTAGCTTGGCCTCCTCACAGCCAGCCACATCTTTGAACTTCACATCTATCTCATCCTTTAAGACCTTGGCAGTGGTTTCTCCAACACTGAAGAGTCCACCCATCCCCCGGCCTGTTCGACCAATACCAGCAGGTCCTCGTCTCACGGTGTACAGCAGGAACGCGATGATGAGCACCGTGGGCAACATGCTCAGCAGAAATGAACTAGAGGGACAACACACGACAGTGATATGTGTTCAATGACTGTTAATCTTTGGCTTTTTAAATATTTTCCAAGATATATTTTTTGATAACTGCTTCATATATACTTGCAAACATAAAAAAATTTTTTAAAACCTGAATATTCTAGTATTTCATCTGAGGTAACAAGGAGAATCTTAGTCTGTTAATATCACTAAAATAGAATCATGAAAGATCAAAGAAAAAATCTGTCCTCAACATGTTCGCTATTAATATTTTATTCCTATCCCAATAACCACCACTTATGCACAGCATTGTGATTTACTATCATTGTATCTGAGTTTCAAAGAAATTTCTTTCAAATTACTCACTTACAAACTCTAAACATGATCCTCGTATTAGTCTAGATAGAAATTCCACTTCTCTAATTGGGATGTATCAGCTTATTTGGAAGAAATATCAAATATCCAAATATCAAATCCTTGTTATTTTAATAGCATGTCTGTTTCAAAAGTAATGTGTGCAATGTTTAAGCCCATCTCTTGCCGACTGTTGCCTAGGCCACTCTGCGACTTGTACAGGTTCAACAGGGACTCCCAGGGGAAAACTGACAGCCCTGCAGCATTCTGCCTGCTTTAAAGAGAGCTAACTGCTCAGGAATGACTTAAAGCCTGAGGGTGCCTTCTGCCTTTTGTTTGCCTTAATAAAGTTTATTTCAACGTAACTATGGGTACAGATATATACTTATATAGGTTAACATAATGCAATTTAGTTTAACTTATCCTAAGAAATTTAGATCAAAACACTGTACAGAGTTTAGCTCAAAACTGAAATAAAAACGAAAACCAGGATTTGCTTCCTAGTTTTTCATCTACTACAAATGTGTAAATGTTGCTAGAGCAGGCAGCAGGAAAATTTTACCTTTGGCTTATTTCTGGAGGGGAGGAAAAAACATGTACTAACCATAAAATTTTAACTTCCAAGAAAGATGGCAGAATACAAAGTACCCAGCATCACCCTCTCCCACAATCAAACAATTTACAGTTACAAAGCAATGACTACCAAGCTAGGGCCTCTAGAGCTCAAGGGAAGAGGAGGAGAGGCCTACAGAGTTCATGAAGTCACGAGAAGCCACAATGAGAGAAAGAAAGTATTGCTCTGACCATTTCGACCCCCAATCACTTCAAGGCTGGCCCTAGTGAGCACATGGAGCAAGAGCTGGCAAAAGCCACTGCTGTGCCCTTCCTATAAAGTTGCTTGGAGCCTGCAGGGGAGAAAAGGGCCTTGGTGGCCACCAGACCAGCAAGACCACTGACAGCATTCCCATGGATCCACAGAGCAGCAAGGAGCCACAGACAACTGAAAAAAGGAGCCATTCAGAGGCCAGTGAGTCATAGCAAGGGACTGGCGCATGGCCTGTCCCATGGGAAGTGTTAGGAGTGTGGCAGAGACAGGCCACCAGGGGTACACTGGGGCACAGCATGAACAGCTGATCTGCCTGCCCTCCAATCAGCACAGGCCCACTCAGTGTAGACTGGTCAGGAACACAGAACTGCAGGGGGTGCAGTTTACTGAAAGACTCAGGCCCAGACCACAGTTTCCACACAACCCAGGTGAAATGGACTTCACAAGACCCATTAGTGTTTATAGGGTCAACAATTAAAACCTGAACTGCACAAAAAGCCTTCCCCAGAGAATCAGCAGCAAAGCAGCAATTTAGCATAACCACAAGGCTTGCAGTGGACTGAATTATGTCCCCCCAAAACTCCCTGAAGCTTGAACTATGTCCCCAAGTTTTATGTATTGGAAACTTAGCCCCACTGTGACTGTTAAGAGGATGGGAAATCCTATTATGGTAACTGAAACGTAGGGCCTTGAAGAAGTGATTGGCTTGTGGGTCCGTGCAGTAATGAATGGATTAAAAATGGTGGTCAAGGGCATGGTTCTGAGTGCTTTAAAAGAAGAGAGTCTGGGGCCGACCCTGTGGCTCACTCGGGAGAACGCGGCGCTAGGAGCACCGTGGCCGTGGGTTTGGGTCCTATATAGGGATGGCCGGTGCACTCACTGGCTGAGCGCGGTGCAGACGGCACCAAGCCAAGGGTTCCGGTCACAAAAAAATAAAATAAAATAAAATAAAAGAAGAGAGTCTGTCTTTTGCTCTCTCTGCTCCTACCGTCTTGCAATGTGAGACCTCTGGGTCACTGTGGCCACCACCAGATGGACATTGGACTTCCCAGCCTCAGAAACTGTAAGCAATAAATATCATTTTTTTTTTTTTAATAAATCACCCAGTTCTATGTATTTTGTTATAAGCAATGAAAACAGACTAATACAAGGCTTAAGTGTCGATTCCCACAGGAAGTTCTCCCATTTTAGAAGTAACCAAAGGACAACAAATTAAGAGTATAAGTGGTGGGAATAGTGAATAATCCAACACAGAACTAAAACAAAAAACAAAAAACCCACAGATCAGAGACAAAGTTCTGATGTTAACCAGTAAAGGTCTAACACCACCAAAGAACACCTATAAAACCTAGAAGGGCCAGAAGTCCCCAGGCTCCCAAGCTGGGGTTGGGGGCACTGAGGGCATCAGCCATGCACCCCCCAACATCCACATCCAGCACAGCAACAACCACCAGGACACCACCAGAAGCATGCTGGGCTCCTGAGCCAGGGCAGTGGGGAACTGAGGGTCTCAGCTACACTCCCTGATGTCCACACCCAGCCCAATGATGACCACCAAGCCACTGCTGGAAGCACCCCGCACTCCCAGTGGCAGGGGCTGCCCAGGACCTCAGCCACATCCTTCCAAAGTCCACATCCAGCTCAGCCACAACCAAGCTACCCCCAGAAGCCCCCTGGGCTCCCCTGCCCAGGGGAAAGAGGGGGGTGCCATGGGCCTCAACCACATTCCCCCACCCTATCTCCCACCCCTTTCCCTTCTCCCCCTCCCCACAACTGCTCACAACATCTTAGAATGTAAAAAAAATAATGATAACAAATAATTTTTAAAAAAAAAAAAATTGTAAAGAATGGTGCAATAAAACGCACCAGCCTAAAAAGTTAAGTAATTAACTTGCAGCCTCGGGAGCTGGGGGATATACCCTACGTGAAACACTCACAATAGCTATGTGGATTCACACACTGCAGGTAGATAGTAGGGTCTACACAACCAAGATTCAAGATACACTGGGTGACTAACACACTAACTACCAGTTTTCCTGCTCTTCTTAGATATACAGAAAAATTAAGATTTCTAGTTTCGCTGAAGAACTGGTAACTCTATAGCATGGTATACCCTTCTATATTTGATGCAAATGAGGGTCACAGGAAAGGGTTCTACTAGGTGTATGTGGATTGGCACTCAAAGGTAATATAATTCTCAGATAAGCTCAAAGACAACCAACTCTTGAAATAAATTGAGCATCCACACACACTTTTAAGTGGGCTTATTCAAAACAACCCCAAGAGAAGCAGCAGCTCTGGTAAGAGGCAGAAGAATTACTTAAAAGTCCTAGAAAACTCTGTGAAAGATAAACATAAGTGATAGTTAAAAGGTGGGAATACCACTCTTTGATATAAAGGAGTTCTTTATACTAAAATCCTACCAAAGGACAGCTTATTGGACATTAATACCCCAAATTACTGCTTACTCAAGATAAATATAAATGTGTAGAAATGAATCAGTCATGTGCAAAAACTAGTAAGTTACTAACGGTGTAAAAGAAAATCTAGCCAAACAGAAAAAACTGTTTGAGAATATCATGTGCAATCCTGCCACCTAGTGACAGAACACAGGGAACCACACACAGCACATTAAATGGCCTTCAAATTATTAATTTTTTAAAACTACTTCTTACCCATCACTTTCAGCAATGTAGACAACAGGTACCCGACTTTCCCCTTCTATGCCCAGTTCTTGCTGTAAAGTTTCCAGATTCCGCTCAAAGGTGTCTACACTGCCAATATTAAACCAGACGTGTTGCTATAAAAAGAGAAAAACAAATATCCTAAGAATAAAGTGGAAACAAAGGGTTCGATTCACTAAAGGGTTCAACTTTTTAAGAACTTTTCAGAAATTCTGAAAATTTACAAATAAAAAAATTAAAAAGTCTGGTTTTAATGATGTAGTGATTAAGTGTTCTCTTAGTGAGAACATTTGGCAAATAAGCATTCTTTACAATATTCCCCAATAGCTCAAAAATTATAAACTCAGGCCGGCCCAGTGGCGCACTGGATAGTGCACCGCTTGGGAAGCGCGGCGGCGCTCCCGCCAAGGGTTCGGATCCCACATACAGACCGGTTCCTGCTCGCTGGCTGGGCGAGGCGCGGGAGCAACACCGAGGGTTGCGATCCCGTTGCCGGTCCCCGGTCCGGTACGGGGGCAACACTGAGGGTTGCGATCCGTTGCCGGTCACGGAAAAAGACAAAAAAGACAAAAAAAAAAAAAAAAATTATAAACTCAAAGAACAGAATGAAAAACCTATTTGAAAAAATAATCCCTTTTTATAAATAAATATGCATTTGCTACGGGTCAAACGTATCACCCAACAATTCATGTGTTGGAAACTTGATCTCCACTGTAAGAATGTTAAGAGGTTGGGAAATCCAATAATGTTATTTGAAGGGTGGGGCCTTTGAGAGGTGATTGGATTATGAGGACTGTGCCCTCGTAAATGTTATTGATCGATTCATGGAGTAAAGGGCGTGGTCCTGACAGCCTTACAAGAGGGAATGAGAAAGTTAGGTCTCTCTTGCTCAGCTCATTGTCACCATGTGACACCGTGGTCGCTGTAGAGAGTCACCACCAAAAAGTAGGCCCTCACCAGATGTGTCCACTGGACCTTGGACTTCCCAGCCTCTGAAACTATAAGAAATAAATTTCTTTATATCTTTTATAAATCACCCAGTTTTAGATATTCTGTTATAGACAAGAGAAATGGACAGCATTCTTTTCCACTTCTGTTTCCTGGGTGCTTCTCAGCTGCCTATACACAAATTAAAAACTAATGTGATATAATAACAGCTAAAGCATACTGAGCACTTACTAAGTGCCAGGCATAATGTCCTAAGCCCTTCATATACATTAACTCATTTAATCTGGAGAACCATCCCAAGAAGTAGGTACTATCACCAGGGGTGATATTCAAAATCTGAACAATTAGAAAGAGCCACCAGCGACCAGTCAGGGCAGAAGTCCCTTGCCATGCCAAGGGCACTGCCCTTCTATCTACCAGAGCTGGGGAGTTCCTGAGGGCCCTAGGGAGGGACACCTGAGGGGCTTGGGCAAGGGTCATTTTACCAGCCAGTACATAAGTATTCCATAACTGTGCTAATGTCTACTGGCTGAATATGAGCCTCGATTCTCACTGTCCCCGTTACAGATGAGAAAACTACAGGGGCAACTTAACTTGCCATGGTTCCACATGGAAAGGAGACTAGGATCTGAACCCCAGCAGTCTGGCCCCAGAGCCAGTACCCTAATCATCATGTCACACTGCCTCTCTGCACAACCATGAAGACACTAATAACAACAGCTCACATTCATGGAGTTTTACTAGATATAAGACCCTGTTCCAAGCACCTTGCATGTATTAGCACCATTTTATAGCACAAAAACACTTTGTTTCTCCTTTAGCTTGCAACCATTTTTATAAGATTTTTTAAAAAAAATCCAAACAATAAGTCTATGATATAAAACTCATAATAACAGAGCAACATGCCATCCCATATTCCTCCCACCAACCAGGATTACTGAGTGAGGAACATTGCTCTACTACTTCTCTCCACATATCTAAAAATAAAAGATGGATAGTAAGTTTTGTATCACACAATAATAGTTCTTGGTAAGCTGTTCACTGACAAAGAAACAAAATTCATGTGGTTACATACTCCAAAACATGTTCATAATACATTTACCACAAATAGGTAATCGAACATGCCCTAACATAGCACCCGCTATCCACGGGGCAACATGCTAAATGTCTGGCTCTCATCAGAGAATCAGTGTAGACCTAGGATCAGCAATACGGGCATCATTCAGGAGCATGTTAGAAATGTAGGTACTCAGGACACAATCTAGATAAGAACCTGGGGGTGGAGTGGGACAGTGCGGGGGGTCTCAGGACAATCTAGGTAAGAACATGGGGGAGTAGGGGGAGGTCTCAGGACTCAAGCTGTAACAGTTAGGGTATTCTTATGCACAAGGAAGTTTGGAAAACCATCACTGACTTACACTATCTCATTTAAGCACCAAGCCCTAAAAAAGCACTATTGTCATTCCCACTTTAAAGATGCAGAAACGGAGGTTCAGAGAAGTTAACCCAAGCAGCTAGTGAAGAGTAGAACTGACTTGAAGCTAAAGCCTGTGTGTATACAGCACAGCACAGTAATTAATATTGCTACTCTATGAGTAGTAGGACACTGAAAATCTTCTGTTTCTGAAAGCTCAAAAAAGTCTTATAAACAGGCAATATATGTTCTCTGTAAAAAACTTTGGAAATATACACATACAGAAAATAAAAAGCATCCATAATCTCAACACCCAGAGATAAACACTATCAGCATTTCAATGCCTATCCTTCAAGATTTAATAATACTTCCTTTATAATCTTGAAACATATGCATAATTTCTAAAAGAAATCAATACAAACCTTAACTGTACTCTAAAGGAGAAACAAAAAGAAAGTAATTTATAATACAATGGTATGAATTTCAATATATAAATGCTGCATACGCCAAGACTAGAAAACAAGGTCCCCTCCAGTGTCAGAAGTGCTCTTGAGAGGAAACAGCACCCCTCTAAGGACCACTGCTCAGCATGGAAACTGACAGTACAGGAATGAGGAGTCTCCAGTGTTAACCAGGTGCCTGGCGTGGGATACTGACTTATTTCTAATATTTTGCTATGTAAACAATGTTCTGAGGACATCCTTATACAGACATCTTTACACGCATCCTTAATTATTCCCCTAGGCTATATTCCAGAAAGCAAAATTACTGGGCTTGTGTGTACTTCCAAAACTGCTGGTATATATACTGCCAAACTGTCCTCTCGAGAGGGAGTGCCAACTTACTTCCCAGCACTAAAAGTCTGAGGAAGAAAAAGTAGCATGGTTATTAATGGACATTTCATCATAAGGGAGAGAGACTGTGGGGGAGAAATCAAATCAATTACAGTAACTCCCCTAAATATGACTAAAACACCAGAGCCATGTGACTTTACAGATATATTTATTGACATGTTATTAAAGAGATATGGTCAGCATCAGTTCTAGCTTGTCCTTAAATGTTGCCCTGTCCAGGCAGGACAGCCAGGAAATGGTTAAACAGAATTATCCTAAGGGAGCAGGAATGCAGGGCAATAAAGAAGTCTAGCCCTGCAGAGGGTGCCAAGACTGCGGGGACCGGGGATGGCGAACGGGGGACCGTTTATGTTGCCTATAACAAAATACTTGGAATTAGGTAATTTATAAAGAAAATGAAATTTACTGCTTACAGTTTCTGAGGCTGGGATGTCCAAAGTCCATCTGGTGGTGGCGACAGTGACCCAGGGGTCTCACATTGCAAGACAGTGGAAGCAGAGACAGCAGAGAGAGAGAGACAGACAGACTCTCCTCTTTTAAAGCCCTCAGAACGACGCCCCTGACCACCATTTTTAATCCATTCACTACTGCACGGTCCTACAATCCAATCACCTCGTCAAGGCCCCACCTTTCAATTATCATAAAAGGATTTCCCACCCTCTTAACAGTCACAGTTTCTAAAACTTGGTGGACACAATTCAAGCTTCAATGAGTTTTGGGGGGACGTAATTCAATCCACTACAGGTGGGGTACAGCTGACGGAGGTCAAGCCCTGAGAAGGGCTGGGTACCACCTGGGAGCCTCACCTCCACCTCTCCCCCACAATCCTCCAATGCATTCAACTCAGTCTGGGGTCTCTGCAAGTAGAGTCCAAACTGGTTGGACAAGAAATACAAATTCTTTTTAAAATAGGAAAACAGATGGAAATTCATATAATATCACAAAAGACTTGGGACAAAGACGATCAGAATTGCTTCTTACACTGATTTGAAAGAAGTTGTCTCAAAACATAAGCAATTCAGATTTTAACATTTTTTCCCTAACCAAACAATTGTTTCTCTGTCTTGAAAAATCATAGACTATTCTGGAATACTGAAAGCTGGAATTTCACTCACCGTTTCCTACATATACAGCCACAGTGATTACCAAAAACAAAACAGGACACTGACCCAATCCCCATATCACTAATGCAGCAGCATGTTCACATTCTCACTGACGTCAGTGAGTACTACGCCTGCTGCACTGCTCAACTCTGACACATCTAGTGTGCATATCTACTGCAATAGGAGGGATATTTTCTTTTCAGGTTTAAGTCTGAAAAGTTCATTTACACCAATTAAAATTATTTACCCCATCAACCGGAGTTTTTCCTGGGATAAAAGTCACTCGAACAAAACGCTTGTTGACGACTTCTAGTCTGTCGACCTAGAATTTTAAAACATTAAACATTCAAACATAAACTTACAGAAAATACCTGAGATATTCTTTTCAGCTCATTTAAAATGCACATAATATTTCAGACATACAAAAAACAATAAAGAATCTGATAGGGATGGTCCCTATTCCCACCTCTAACGCTGTGGAAGCTGCCAGGCATGCCCTCACCCAGAGGTGACCACTCTTTCATTTTGGGGCTGAACCGCCCAAAGCACTTTACACTTGCACTATACACCATGTAACCCTAAACAATATATACATTCACTTATGCCTGCTTCTAAACTTTAAGAATGGTCTTGTTTTAGGGCCAGCCTGTGGCTCACCTAGGACAGTATGGTGCTGATGGCACCAAGGCCACAGGTTCGGATCCCTATATAGGGATGGCCAAGTTAGCTCACTTGGGAAAGCGTGGTGCTGACAACACCAAATCAAGGGTTAAGATCCCCTTACCAGTCATCTTCTTAGAAAAATAAAAAAGAATGGTCTCGTTTTGTATATATTCCTCTGTAACTTTCTTTTTCCTCCCAGCTTTACATTTGGGAGGTTTACCCATGCTGACATTTCAGTCCTGCAGGGTGTTCCATTTTATGAGCAAAACCCAATTTATTTACCCATTCTCCTGTTAATAGACAATCAGAGTGTTTGAAATTTTTCACCATCACAAACAATGCTGTTGTGAACATTCTCGTATATACCTTTTTGGGCACATCTTCAAAAATTTCTCAGGATACATCCCTGTAGACACATCTTCCACTGCACTAGCTGTTGCCAAATTGCCCTCCAAAGTGGCTCTCCAATTCACACTCTCATCAGGAAAATATTGTGATTATTCTACATCCTCACCAGCATTTGGTATTCAAAGACTTTTAAATTTTTGGCATTTTATGAGTATAAAATAATTTAAACATTTTTTCCTTTAATCTCCTAATTATATAGGATTCTTAATAATATTCTTAAACCCCTCATCCTAAGAAATGTGGATGACTGAGGAGCATGAGCCTCGTGCAATATGCTTCTTTCTTGCTGTGTCAGTGAGTCTGGAAAGCATGAATGACGAGCGGAGTGAAGAGCCCCAGAGTGGTTCCAGAGGAGCCAGAAGGGGCAGTAACTGATCTTGAAGGGGTCTTTCTGGAAAGGAATGACTAGAAGAGCACTGCCCCCATGAAACTGCTAGGGAGACAGGAGATGCATTCCACAGAACCAGTGAGTCAGGAGCAGATGGAGCTATGGAGACTCCTCCTCAAATAGCTGCTGTCACGCTCGGAAGGACTGCTGCAGCCCTGGCCACACAAAGGACAGGAGTCACTTCTGAGAAAGTAGGCATCTGAGATTTGTAAATACAATAACCTCACTTTCATGAGATTAAACACTTGATTCAAAAATATGAGTACACAAGAGGACTCTAAGAAGATGGTGTAGAAGGAAGAACCAGGAATGCATCTCCCTAACTACACAATTTCACAGGCAGAATCAGCCTGACATAACTTTTGGAACTCTGGAGTCCACTGAAGGGTGCAACTTCCAGGGGAAAGCGTGGATGGTCAACTGTGGCTACTTCTGATCAATTTCAGCTCCTGGCACAGTAGCAGCCACCCATCCCCAGTCCCACAGCAAGCAGCTGTGCACGCGTTCTAGGAGCAGCTTGCACACTCAACAAAAAGGAGCCTGTCTTCTAAATATCGGGGATCTATGCTCTGACTGATGACTGCTGTTTCTGATAACAGAGATACAGGCAAAGAGGCAGTGGCCACTGTGGTGCTGTACCTTCCCCTCTGGCTGAAATGACTGCCAAGAGATTTAAAGGGCTAGCGCCCTTTTCCCCCCTTCATCTTTCTCTTTCTCCATTTTGGAGCCAGATGTTAAAGACCATGACATACAAAAATAACTGGATATATAGGGAAAATCAGAAAGTGACCATGCATGCCCATGAAAAGGTCCAAGTTCAGAGAAGATCTGAGCAAACCCAAGTTTACAATACAGGCTGATCCTTGAGTACAGAAACAGCCTATAACAATAAAAACAAAAACAAAAGTAATAAATAAAAATAGTAAACAGCAAACCACAGGGAAGGAGAAGTATCTGATTTCCAGAGTTACATTATTGGATTCAAATGTCTGGTTTTCAACAAAAAATCAAAGGCAACAAAAAGACAGGGAAGTATGGTCCATTTGAAGGAAAAAATAAATAAGTCAACAGAAACTATTCCTAAAAGACCTGATGGCAGATCTACAAGTCAAAGAATTTAAAACAACTATCTTAAACATGTCCAGAGAACTAAAGGAAGATGTGGAGGAAGTCAAGAAAATGATATATGAACAAAATAGAAATATCAATAAAGAGAAAGCCTAAAAAAAAAAAAATTCTGGAGCTGAAAAGTAAAATAACTGAAATGAAAAATAAACTAGAGGGATTCAAAGGCAGATTTGAGCAGGCAGAAGAAAGAGTTGGCAAACTTGAAGATAGGACAACTGAAATTATCAAGTTTGAGGAACAGAAAGAAAAGCACTGAAGAAAAGTGAACAGAGCTTAGGGACTTGTGGGACAACAAGTGGACCAATTCACGTACTGTGGGAGTTCAGAAAGAGAAGAGAGAAAGGGGCAGAGAGGATATGTGAAGAAGTAAGGCTGAAAGCTTTCCAAATTTGATGAAAGACAAGAATAAAAACATCCAAGCTCAGCAAACTCTAAAGTAAGATAAATTCAAAGAAACCCACACCAACACACATTATAATACAACTTTTCAAAGACAAAGGCAGAATCTTAAAAGCAGCAAGGGATAAGTAACTTGCCACATGCAAGGGACCCTGAATAAGATTATGAGCAAATTTCTCATCAGAGACTTTGGAGGCAACAAGGCTGCGGGCCAATATTCAAAGCATTAAAAGAAAAAAAAGCTGTCAACCAAGAATCACATATCTGTCAAAACTGTCCTTCAAAAGTAGGGGAGAAATTAAGACATTCCCAGATAAACAAAAGCTGAGGGATTTCATTACCACTAGAGCTGCCCTGCAAGAAATGCTGAAGGGAGGCCTACAAAGTACAAGGAAAGGACACTACAGAAAGTAACTCAAAGCCATATGAAGAAGTAAGGATCTCAACAAAGGTAAATACATGGGTAATTATAAAAGTCAGTATTACTATAACTTTGGTTTATACCTCAGCATTCTGTTTTCTACATAATATGAGACTAATGCATTTTTAAAAATTATTAATTTAGGGACTGCCTGTGGCTCACTCGGGAGAGTGCGGTGCTGATAACACCAAGGCCACGGGTTCGGATCCCATATAGGGATGGCCAGTTCGCTCACTGGGTGAGCGTGGTGCTGACAACACCAAGTCAAGGGTTAAGATCCCCTTACCGGTCATCTTTTTTAAAAAAAATAAAAAATAAAAATTATTAATTTATGTTTTGGGGCATATGATGCATAAAGGTGTAATTTGGGGACACCAACAACAAAAAAGGGTGGGGATGGAGCTATACAGGAGCACAGTTTTTCCAGGTTTTCATGTTGGTATAAATTCAAATTAGAATGCCACAACTTTAGGTTGTTAAATGTAATCTCCATGATAATCACAAAGAAAACAGCTATAAAATGTAAGAAAGGAATTTAAATGTTTCACTACAAAAAATCAACTAAACACTAAAGAAGACAGTGATGCAGGAAATGAGGGGGGGAGCTATAAGACGTATAGAGAACAAACAGCAAAATAACAGAAGTGAGTCCCTCCTTATCAGCAACTACTTTAAATATAAATAAACTCTCCATTCAAAAGACAGAGACTGGGAGGATGGATAAAAAAATGATATTACTATATGCTGTCTATAAGAGACTCACTTTAGATCCAAACACACACATAGACTGAAAGTAAAAGGATAGAAAAAAATATTACATGCAATAGTAACCAAAAGAGAACAGGGGCAGCTATACTAATATCAGACAAAATTGACTTTAAATAAAAGGTTCATTATAACAAGAAGACATAACAATTCTAAACATGTATGCACCTAACAACAGAGCATATAAATATATGAAGCAAAAACTAAAGAGCAAAGTAGAAAGCTCTACAATAATAGAGACTTCAATACTCCACTCTCAACAATGGATAGGACAACAGACAGAAGTAAGGACATAGAGGATTTAACATAATAAACCAATTAGATCTAACAGACACATACAGAACACCCCACTCAACAACAGCATACATTCTTCTCAAATGTACATGTGACATTTTCCAAGACAGACCATACGTTAGGCCACAAATTAAGCCTCAATAGATTTGAAAAGATAGATATCATACTAAGTATCTTCACCAACAACAATAGGGTGAAGTTAGAAATCAATAACAAAGGAAAACTGGAAAATTCACAAATTAGTGAAAATTAAACAACACACTCAATCAATGAATCGAAGAAATCACAAGGGAAATTTAAAAATACTTAGAAATAAATAAAAACAAAAACACAACATACCAAAATTTGTGGATCACAACAAAAGCAGGTGGAAATTTACGTTTAAATTAAAAAAAAACAAGAAAGATCTCAAATCAACAACTTTAACTTTACAACTTAAGGAACTAGAAAAAAAAGACAAACTAAACCCAAAGCTAGCAGAAGGAAGTCAATTAAGGCAGAGATATATGAAATAAATGAGATAATTAAAGATTAAAGCAAAGATAAATGAAAGAGAAAAATAGGGAAAATCAATATAACTAAAAGTTGGTTTTTGAAAAGATCAACAAAAAATCAACACCCCTTTAGCTAGATGAACTAAAAAAGAAGGAAGACTCAAATCACTAAAACCAGAAGTGAAAGTGGGGGCATTACTAGTGATTCTACAGAAATAAAAAGGATTATAAGAGAGTACAATGAACAATTGTATACTAACAAATTGGATAACCTAGATAAAATAGACAAATTCCTAGATACACAAAACCTACCAAGACTAAACCATGAAGAAATAGAAAAATCTGAAAAGATCTATAACTAA